TGTCCCCATATACATTCTAACATCTTAAGCGAGAACATCTTAACAGGTTTTACTGTACTATTATAAAATGGCAAAAAAGCTTACTTTGAGGGTAAAGACGAGTTTTATTTTATTTTATTAAATTTTGAACGCTAATAATGAGTAAAATATTCATTAAGAGATATGACACATGACCACTTTTTTGTCTTCACCCTGTCGACCTTTAATTAAGAACCAAAATTTAATAGTATTAATGCCCTTTTATATGCGAGCTACAGTGCCACATTTCGTTTCTTAAACTTTACCCATTCTGAGATATTGTTTAATATCTCAGAACAGAAAATAAAGAAATTAAACAAATTAGATGCCAACACACGCCCGTGTGAATTTTTCCCCTTTATTGACTTTTTTGAGGGGGTTCGGGAGGTCTCTAAACGTGTAGATTTGCAAAAAAAAAACTTGGAGGGTCAAATTTGACACAATTCCAATACTTTTCCTTATATACATAACAAGTTGGTAAGTAAAAAAGGAGTCGGAGTCGGCGGATATTTTGACGACTCCGACTCCGGCTAAAACATCAAAACTCCACAACTCCGACTCCACAGCCCTGGTTTGATTTAACAATTTTATTAAATTTGACAAATAAAAAATTGCATTATTTGGAAAAAATGCTATTTCCGACTGGTGTCCTCTTAACTCATAAGTACCAGCAATCATTTGTATCATACTAATTACTCTTTTTATGAAAGAAATTACAAACATAACAATAAGTAATAACTAACATAACTAACAGATATAAGTTACTAGAGATGTAACTAATATTGATCTGATACCAATATATTGGCATATTGGAATGTCCCTGATTTATTAATATTGCTTCATTTAACAAACATATTCCATATGAATCCTTTACATTATTTTGCCATGGCAAACATTGAAATATGGTGATGAACAGAACATCCTCTCTACACATGATTCACCACCAATGACCACATGATGTTGGTTGTTGTTGATTTTAGTGAAGACCATTGTGCAGGAGACCAACTCCTGCACAATGGATCACCAGTTTTTTTGGGAGATCCATAAGAAGACCAGATCAGCCAGTTAATGATTTGGTGACAATTTTTCTATACTATTATAAATTTGTTGAAAGTTTGTTCGAATGTTTTCCAAAAATCATGACTGAAGTTGAGCCTAGATAAACTAGAAAATTACAATTGCCTAGGACCTGGATCTAGAAGGATCTCAAACATCAATTTGTACACTTTTATTTCTTCATATTTGAATTTAAATGGTTAGCACACAAAGCGAATATTCTCTAAACCAGTGTTCCTCAACCGGTGTGCCGCGGCACACTGATGTGCCGTCACATGGTGAAAGGTGTGACGTGAACTTTTACATATTCTGTTAATTTCAAATTTTATTTATATATTTTTATCACAGTTGTTGTGTTTCTTATGCTTGTATTTCATTCTCTGCCACAGCACTGATGAAATAAGATGATATTTGTTTATTCTTTATTACAAGCCACACATTTTTATGTATTCTAAGAAATTATATGTAAAAAAAATTGCTCACAGGTGTTGATGTCTGCTTAATAACAATAATAATAGGTTAGTGGCATTACGTAATTCTATTAATAGTATCATATCATACGTTTTTGAGGGGAATAACATTTTGGCGTGCCGTGTTGAGTCATGGGTGTGCCGCAAGTAGAAAAAGGTTGCGGAACACTGCTCTAAACCAATGAGCTTTCAGGATTTCATTTATTACCAATACCTGCATAGAATGATAGAACATGTATCAGTATTGGATTGGATTGGATTAAATCAGATTAGTTGGAAAATTATCAGAATCAGATCATATCATCTCTATAAGTTACCTTAGCTAGAATCTNTCGCAATTTTTTCGCCGTCATATAGGAATCCGAACTATAGGAACCCGTGTTATAGGGGGATCGACTGTATATCAAATTATTCAAACTTCAAGACACCATTAAAAATAAAAATTGCATTATAGTGATTTTTTTTAGTTAACTGTATAAGTTGGCGACCCCACAGAAAGCCCGTCGCGACCCCCTTCTGGGTCGCGACCCATAGGTTGGGAACCCGTGAATTAGAATCTATCAAAAAAGAATTATCCTCTATGAAGAAGTCATAATCAGTATCTTTTCTATTCTAAGCTTCTGTATATCTCTCATATGTTAAATGTTTGCTAGAATTTATAGAATTACAAATTATTCTTTAAGAATTTGAAAATGATTAAACAACTTCTAGGTTTCTAAATACCTTCTAAACAATTACAAGAGCAATTTAAAATGAGCAAGTATTGACATTTCTTCAAACAAACAAATTTCCTAAAATACCAGTGGCTTATTGTCCATCAGCAGCTGATTGGATATACTGCTAAACACCAATAGTTGGTTGTGGGTCTATACGCAAGCAATGAGCTTGCCAGACAGTTTTTTGGACTTTATTATCTAACACTTAAATAGGGCTGGTTTTCCATAAAAAATCTCCTAGAAGTCCTCCTCTCAACAAGAGTGCCTTTAAGTTGTATTGCCTTATTCCATCAAACCAATGCATAGTTTGTTTCAAAAAGGTTTTTGCATTATGTAAGAACATTTATTTCAAAGTAATGATGAATGTGTGTGGCAAAACTTAAGACAGTCTAATAAATTTACTCAAAACACAATAAAATAAATTCAAAAGATAGAATCCATGTCTCAGCAGTGAAAAACTTATACAAACAGTCCTTAATAAGAGATTTCTCTGATAATGGAATTAATTCCCTTCAAGACAAAATTCTACTGTTTGACTTTCATACACATTTTCATGCCCAAAAGAGGGAAACTGCCTGCCTTCAAAATGCACATTTTCGCTCCTCTTAATTAATGGATCATCCTAAGATCACAGTTATAAATTTGAAATGCATTACAAATGTAAATTTTATCATAAGATGTGGATTTTCTTTTTTCTATTACCAGTCAACATTCCATTTTCAGTCGATACAAATTTATGAAATGTTACCAAATTTTGTTACTATAGTAACTGACTGATGTTTGTCTAACTGGAAAACTTTTTAAAACATGTTTCATGTGTTTATTAAACATCATTTAAAATTATTTAGTAGTAATGATAGTCTTTATATAGAAAAATTCTCATAATGTAAGTTAGATCTAAGAAGAACTTGAAATAGAAAATTTATGAACTGTTTACTCCATCACAGTCATCAAGAGTTGTTACATGATTTAATTACATTTTTTTGTTAGTTACATGAAATAAATTACTTAGTTACCAGTTTATATGTTAACTATACAACATGACATCATAACAAGCAACAATGTTTAAAAAATAAACTTCAATTACTGTGATGTCGTCACGTCAGGCTGCAATTTTTCATCATAATGCTACAATTTTAGTCGTTTCTTGCCTCTGTAGATAATACTTTTCCTGTTAACAATAGTGTCATTGCAGTCATCTAACTCACTCCATTCTCAAAATTAAGGCAGATCCCAGTGGGAATTTTATAGGTCTACAATTTGAAAATTGTAGATAAATAACAAAATTGACAACTTTAAATCAAAATTTTTTTTGAGTAATTCTATAGAATTGTTTAAAGATATAATTAAGAAAGTATTTTAATGGAATTGAAAGATAAAAAAAAGCGAAGTAACAATCTATTTTTCAAGCACTTCCAAGTTTTAAAAACACACCAAGTCTCTACAATGCTGCAAGTATCAGAAGTTGTTTAAGTGTCGCTCATTAATTTGCTTTTTTATATTTTTTCATTCCATTAAAACATCTTTTTTGTTATAATTTTTATTGTACTGAGAATATTTTTGTTAATTAATAAAGACAATAAAAGTACTTACAAATTTAATGTTTTCTTTGAGCAACTTACAATTTGATGGAATGTCCAATACTAATATTATACTGACCACAGAGTTAGTAATGTTTATGATAAAATCCTTTCTGACTTCTAGACTTAGCTTAAAATCTAAGAAAGATGCATAAATAGTCTACGGGCTAAGTACAGAGTTCTTTGAGTAAACATAACATAATTTATAACCACAGAAATGCTTAGTACACTGATATGCAAAGATCCAATTAAATGCTTTATCTTATGTACAATTTCAACCTATTCACTATGAGATTTTTTATTATATGATGCTGTTCTTATTAAACTGACTAAAGTAAATACATAATTTTTGTAACTTATTATTTTCATTTAGCATAAATTCTTCTTAATTTAAAATTCAAATTGTTCAAAACTAGCCATTTCCAATAAACAAAATGGTTCTGAACATGGAGACGAACTTCAGGAGTGGATTCTTGGCAGGATAAAAAAAACAAAAATGGTCCTATTAACAGTGTAAAAATGCACCTGAGCCGAGATAGACCCACTTCTGTATTCCCATTCAGCACTATCTGGACATCTGCAGATTGATCAGGCTGTTGTATGGTCTGTCCAGTTGGAGACTTCAACCCCTTAATTATTAGTTATGGAGAATCTGGAAAATGTAACCAGTTCCTGATGAGCAGACGTTGGAGCAATGTGTGGATGCTGGACATTGTTTGGATATGTATACCATACTGTTGTGCAACCTGTATAGTTTGTGACACCCAGTGGTACTAGTGCATTTCCAGACATTATTAGGGACCATTTTTATTTTTTGTCCTGTTAGGAATCCACTCTCATTTGGAACCACCCTGTAAATTAACATTCCAATATGCATTCCAGTTCATAAAACATAATTTTGTCAGGAATTTGATTATGGTTTTTAAATTATAAACAGATCACTAGATTTTAATAAAATTAATAGCTCTAATATTATTTTAAAACTGGGAAGTGGATATTTGATTGTACAGTAGAGTCCTGCTAGTCCAAACTAATTGGGACCGAGCTCTGTTCGGATTAGCTGAATAATTGAAATAATGCAGAAACAAGCAGTAAAACAGGTCCAGTTTATATAGATTCAACACCATCAATGACTTTTGTTTCTGTTTTTGTGTGTAAGTACAGTATAGATCTGCCATTTTAATAGGCCATGTCAAACACTGATTTATTTTGTACAGTATTAATACAGCACTATAATAAAAAATAATTTTTTTTTGTTGTGAAATTTTAAAACTTTCTGTACCATTAATACCATTTAAATTCAACTGGAAAATACAAAAACCACATATTTTGCGAGCTAAAAAATTTCATTTCCACCAATTGAAACATGTTTGGATTAGGTAGACATTCGGATTAGTGGTGTTTGGACTAGCAGGACTATACTGTAATGTTTTATGTAATATCTTTAAAATTACTACAGGTATTCCCATTGAATGTCTAAATTTTGTGGATTAATTGTGGATAAAGAAACATAAATGTAGTACTGTAGGTGATGGTAATAGAAAGTGTGTCTGAAATAATTAGTTACTACATTAAACCAATACACTTCCACATATGCTCCTGACGTATATCCAGCCTGTACTTGATCCCATGTTCGAGCCAAATGTGGATTCTCCTGCCTGGCACTTTTGTAGCATACACACAATCCTCAACGTCAACAAAGATAAAAGTTCAAAGAAATAATGACAGGCAATCAAGCAGACCCAAGAAATGGGGTCCTGGCAGTCTAGACCATGCAGCAGTGGATGTCTGGATCACCACGTTGTGACAGTAGTGCTCCTTTCAAGCTTATGCATGTGAAACTTTGTGTACTGACCAACATTCTCCAATATATTTTATTCACATAACTGAAGAAATGGATTTTACAAACAGAACTTAAGAACTGAACTATGTCTAAATTGTAAATATAATATTTCATTCTGGATATTGTAATAATATGTGATCCATCAGTCTATATGTCTTATAATTCAGTTAATTCATGTACAATGTAAAACTATGTTTTCAGCTGCTTCTAAATAATCTGAATTCTACTCATTAACTTTCAACATGATAGTGATCATCTCCTATATTTAAATGTAAAATGACTTAATAATTAAATTATACCTTAAAAACTATCTGTATAAATAATTTGGCAGTTTATCTTGTTAAGGTATAAAATTGGAATTGTATGATATGAGTCAATAAAGTGGCATAATCCAAATACAAAAAAATAAGTTTTGAGTTTAATGCATATTGAAAGACTAGTTTTGAAGGAACAACATCAAATTGAATTGAATATTCAATGAACATTATACAGAGTTGAATTTTGAATGATTAATGCCATGTCAAGGATAACAAGCTCTGAATTTTTGCATTAAAATAATAAATTGGTAGTTTTAACAAATTAATAAAAAATACAATAACTCATAAATTCCAGTTTTTCTTAGAAGCCAATTGTCATTTTTATCACTTTTTTAGGTACAAAAAATACTTTCTTTTGTTCTAAAATAATAATATAATACATATTACGAACTTAAATCTGTATATAAATAAAAATCTTTTTGACTCCTAAAGAATTGGAATGTGTGCAATATTTAACAATAAATAAAATAATTTAAATAAATATTTAAAAAAAACAAATAACAAATAAGAATGTGACTAGATAAAATTATTTAGTTAGATCTTGACTGTTGAGCTGCAATAAACTCTGGATAGTCGATGAAACCATCTTTATTCTGATCGTCCATATCAAGAATCGGATCAATCATCGTCGCAAGCTCATGGTCAGAGAAGATCTTTGGAGTCGCAGGATTATTTCCACTCTGCTTATTCTCTTCTACTAAATAAACCAATAAAATTATTATTATACTTTTACACATAATAATAAACTAAAATATAGAAAGCTTTAAAAACAACGAATATTTAAGAATATTCCCAAAACACAAACATGAATATTGGCAAAAATGAATTAAATAGCTATTTAAATAATTTTCTGTATAAAATTTTCAATAACTGTATTAAATACATGAACATTTTTATATTTGCATATACAGAGTGATCAAAATCAGTTAACCTGAGTAAATAAATCATGAACATGTGCAATCCCAACCAGTTTAAACCATTCTTAAAATAATCTTTAAAAAATATCGCAGTCAACTGCTCTTTGAACCACCCTATATACACCCATATAAAAAAATAAGCATAATTATCCAATCTGTAGATATGAGTCCAGGTACAGTCTACAGAACAATTCTCTTTGGATTAGAATGGAAACCCAAAAGTCTCATGAACATTGTAAAAATAAACCAGTCTGCAGATGGTGGCAGTGTGCCATGCTTAACGGCCACACTGAGCTCCACAATTATTATAAAATAATAAATCACTAATATATATTGTTGAATCAGGATTATCATAGAAAGATTCCTACACATACATGATGTTTTTCTCTTCTTTGAAATTAATACAGTCTCTTTTCTTCAGCTTTGAAAATTTCATGAGTTTCTAGTGTTCTGATACAGTCCATGTGTTGAGATTGTCTGATGAGGGTAGCCTCCTGAGATTAGCTTGTACACCATTATTGGAAGCATATATGACCAGGGCGATGGTGTGTTTCTTATTAGTTATTTCATATCTGTGTTCAGCTAGTCTCTTGTGGAAGAAACATTTGATCGAATTAATATACTCAATTCTTTCTGGAATGTATTGTCCCTCACCGGAACCCTATATACTCCAGATACTCTATAACTGTTAACTGTATCTTTGCCATTGTAGAGCAACTTGTAAATAGTGGAATTATGTTTGTACATTGGCATAGCATCTCTCTTAGCTATTTCCTTATGTAAGACATGCATTTTTTTATTTTTATGTTTCTTTCATAATTTCTTTGCTGGAGATATTTTAAGGGTTACTGGAATGTTGTGTCATACAATTTTACATGCAAATTATTTATTAAAGAAGTTTTTACTTACAATGCCAATGTATAAGAGATTTTACTAATTCGCATCCATCTAGTTTATTATTTTTATCATTATCATGCATTTTGAAGTAATGAAACTGTAATTCTTCTTCAGACATGTGGCTAATGTCGGGTTCATCAACTATACCTTCCAAGTGATCTTTTATGTGCCTGAAATTTAAAAATGCATTTAAAATATGATAAAATCAGAAATATTTAAGATATTAAACTTAAACTAAAATTAATATAATCTCCATAGAACTGAATGTAAGAAAAATTAGATTTACAAACTTATCAACATTACTTTTTCTTAAAAATGTTAACAAAAATTAAGAAATTAAGAAGTATTTTTGCTTTTATTATTTAAACATTTAAAAGCATCTTCAGATAAGACTTCAATACATTCAAATTTTGAATGTTTTCTTTTTAAAATTTTTTCTTTTGTTATCCAATCATGTGTGCCTGCATTGTTGATGAGACTATGTCTCGTCTCTAAAATTGCGCTGCTGTCAACGGCTGCACACTTCCCATATCTGCTGCCAATGCTGTATGGAATGTAAAGAAGAATGGAGCCTCGGCCACGGGAGTTGCAATTCGGCATGGAGTATTTGGTGCCCAAATCATGTAAACATAAAATAAACCAGAGTTTGTAGGTAGTCGTGGGACTGAGAACTGGGTCAAAATAAAATACAAAATGCTGACACTGTTTCTACAAACAAGTGCGAGTGCGAGATTTGCACATGTGTTGCTCACACTCTCTGAGACATAGTCTCATCCCAAGAATGGCTTTGCCGTTTTACTTGTTTGTTATAATGTCGGGTCAAATATAGCTTGCAAATGCCTTTGAAATTTGCTTTTTGTTTTTAAAATTGATAGATAGGCAGTCTGTTTTAAATATCTCCAACACTTCTAAATTCTTAAGTTGGTGGTAATATTGGTTAAGTTATATAACACATTTGTCATATTACAGTAACCTGAGGGAGTTCTGCCTCAATCCCATTATCACTGGCATATATAGCAAACAGAATACAGATATGTATACAGAATGCTATTTTCATTAATAAATAAATAATAATAATAATATAAATGTGAAGATAAACAGCTCATGTCCAGTGAGAACCTCACAGGTTGCCAGATAGGTTTTATAAAAAAAAAAAAAATATAGCAGATTACTCAAAATGGAGCCCAAATTATTTTTAAAGTGGCCCAAATTTAGTAGTCAAGAGCCCTACAAATATCTCAATCTGCTACTTGTAGCCCAATCTCACAATCCTGAAACCCAGTCATATCTTATGAGATAAGATAAAAAAGAGTAGTCCATGAGTAAGATGACACTCAAAAATGTGTTACTGTAAAACAGTAACATGCGGTGACATTTGATGATAGGGAATCTGTGCCAGCCCTGGATAGAATCATTACAAGAGTTATATGATATTTTGGTGCGGAGCATCCACGAGCTAAACCGCGTGAGGTTGCTGCTCTGTAAAGCACATGCACAAATGCCTATAATCTGGCTGCTTTACACGATAAAAAATATTTTCACTGTGGAAGCTGTCCCATATTATACAATACAGCACTTCCATTGGGAATATGCCTATACGAATTTATATTCAAATATACAATAGCAAATCTTATCATTTTTTTTCACACGTAACATAGAAATTTGTAATAAGATACATAATGTGGTTATAATAAAACATTAATTTCAATTAATTCAAAGTACGTTAAAATACAGTAATACCTCGACTTATGCAAACCCGGAGTTACGCGATTTTCAAATCTCATCAATTCGTCTTTTGTTTGAGCGCCACGCAGCTTTTGATTACTCACTCCCCCCACACTATTGTTCAGCTTACATGTTCAGATGTGTCACGCGAAATCGACACATAGCTACAATTTATTTTGTGTTATTTATTTCTGTGTTTGTTATATCTACGGAGACTTGAGAGACTCTATTTGGTGATTTCTTGTAACCATGAACGAATCACAAGACAAGCTAAGATTAACAAGAACATTTATTAGCTTACATACATCCGACTTGGATTTTACACAAATTGCAAAATTATACCCCGACTTACGCTAATTCGACTTTTGCGGTTATCGCTTGGTCCCACCTATCGCGTAAGTTTGGAGTATCACTGTATTAAAAATAATATGTATTTATATTTTAGAAAATACAAGGGAAGTGGCACTTCCACTGCTCCCGTGAACAGCACGCCACTGTTGTAAAAGCAAAGCTATATTGACCAGATTAGAGTTGTCTATTGTTCTGTTACAGCATGGAGGCACTTTGATCTAACCAAATGAGTTAACATATGCTTATCACAGTTTGGACAGAATTTTCACTTCAAATTTCAAAGTAGTCATATTTTGAACTAACCAAATTTCTTAAAATGTAAATCTCTATGTTCCTGGCTGGAATAAAAGTACAATTACAAACTACAAGATTTCAAGTTAATCAGGATTTCCTGTATGATAAATGTGCCATACAAACCAAGCAGTGATCTGCTCAGGACATTGTTACACTACCAAAAAATACTCAATATGGCTTTATGTTGTCTATGATTATTATTAATTGTACTGATAATTTTCATATGATTTTATAAGCAATCAGGTACTTATGGGTTAAGAGGATGCCAGTCGGAAATAGCAATCAAAGTCACGATTTTGAATGAAAATATCAAAATAACAATAGACTAGTAAATTTAAATCTAAAAAGAAGAAAATTTACTGATAAAGTTGTAAAAATAAAAAAAAATCAATTAGGATGATAGATATTGCCTATTTGCCATATACACTAAAAACAATTTGCATATCCAAGTGGTTCATTATTACAGTTTGTGAAATTTTGTTATATCTTTATAAATAATAATTTATTGTTTGATTCAGGGCTGTGGAATCGCGTAAAAATCTACCGACTCCAACTCCGACACTTCCTTACCATCCGACTCCGACTAGGGGCAGACTTGTTACTGAAAGTGACCCGAAAATTCTGATGTCATCACGTGACCTCAGAATAAAATATTCAATAAATAGAGTTGTAATAAAAATAGAGTGTAGAAACTTTTTATTCCAAAGCTAAAAGACTTCTCTAAGTAATATATAAATATGTATTCGATAATTTNTTATTTTTAAAGTGGCCCAAATTTAGTAGTCAAGAGTCCTACAAATATCTCAATCTGCTACTTGTAGCCCAATCTCACAATCCTGAAACCCAGTCATATCTTATGAGATAAGATAAAAAAGAGTAGTCCATGAGTAAGATGACACTCAAAAATGTGTTACTGTAAAACAGTAACATGCGGTGACATTTGATGATAGGGAATCTGTGCCAGCCCTGGATAGAATCATTACAAGAGTTATATGATATTTTGGTGCGGAGCATCCATGAGCTAAACCGCGTGAGGTTGCTGCTCTGTAAAGCACATGCACAAATGCCTATAATCTGGCTGCTTTACACGATAAAAAATATTTTCACTGTGGAAGCTGTCCCATATTATACAATACAGCACTTCCATTGGGAATATGCCTATACGAATTTATATTCAAATATACAATAGCAAATCTTATCATTTTTTTTCACACGTAACATAGAAATTTGTAATAAGATACATAATGTGGTTATAATAAAACATTAATTTCAATTAATTCAAAGTACGTTAAAATACAGTAATACCTCGACTTATGCAAACCCGGAGTTACGCGATTTTCAAATCTCATCAATTCGTCTTTTGTTTGAGCGCCACGCAGCTCTTGATTACTCACTCCCCCCACACTATTGTTCAGCTTACATGTTCAGATGTGATTTCTTGTAACCATGAACGAATCACAAGACAAGCTAAGATTAACAAGAACATTTATTAGCTTACATACATCCGACTTGGATTTTACACAAATTGCAAAATTATACCCCGACTTACGCTAATTCGACTTTTGCGGTTATCGCTTGGTCCCACCTATCGCGTAAGTTTGGAGTATCACTGTATTAAAAATAATATGTATTTATATTTTAGAAAATACAAGGGAAGTGGCACTTCCACTGCTCCCGTGAACAGCACACCACTGTTGTAAAAGCAAAGCTATATTGACCAGATTAGAGTTGTCTATTGTTCTGTTACAGCATGGAGGCACTTTGATCTAACCAAATGAGTTAACATATGCTTATCACAGTTTGGACAGAATTTTCACTTCAAATTTCAAAGTAGTCATATTTTGAACTAACCAAATTTCTTAAAATGTAAATCTCTATGTTCCTGGCTGGAATAAAAGTACAATTACAAACTACAAGATTTCAAGTTAATCAGGATTTCCTGTATGATAAATGTGCCATACAAACCAAGCAGTGATCTGCTCAGGACATTGTTACACTACCAAAAAATACTCAATATGGCTTTATGTTGTCTATGATTATTATTAATCGTACTGATAATTTTCATATGATTTTATAAGCAATCAGGTACTTATGGGTTAAGAGGACGCCAGTCGGAAATAGCGATCAAAGTCACGATTTTGAATGAAAATATCAAAATAACAATAGACTAGTAAATTTAAATCTAAAAAGAAGAAAATTTACTGATAAAGTTGTAAAAATAAAAAAAAATCAATTAGGATGATAGATATTGCCTATTTGCCATATACACTAAAAACAATTTGCATATTCAAGTGGTTTATTATTACAGTTTGTGAAATTTTGTTATATCTTTATAAATCATAATTTATTGTTTGATTCAGGGCTGTGGAATCGCGTAAAAATCTACCGACTCCAACTCCGACTCTTCCTTACCATCCGACTAGGGGCAGACTTGTTACCAAAAGTGACCGAAAATTCTGATGTCATCACATGACCTCAGAATAAAATATTCAATAAATAGAGTTGTAATAAAAATAGAGTGTAGAAACTTTTTATTCCAAAGCTAAAAGACTTCTCTAAGTAATATATAAATATGTATTCGATAATTTTTACTTTTCCAGCTGTTATATATAACAGAGGAAAAGTGTAGTGCTCGGTCAAAAAATGACCCCTCCCAAATTTTTACATTTTTGGACTCGGGACACCTTGAAATTTTGAGATATGCAAAAGATTCGAGGTTTTTTCTATATGTGTGGATGTTAGACTGTGTGGGGGGGATGATTTTGTTCATTCTGTTTGAAGCCTAATAATATCTGTGGTCAGAGTGGTCAGAATCGGAGTCAGATGGTTTAACACAGGAGTTAGTTATTAAGCGTCAAAGTGGTTGAACTAAATCATGTCCCCATATACATTCTAACATCTTAGGCGAGAACATCTTAACGGGTTTTACTGTACTATTATAAAATGGCAAAAAAGCTTACTTTGAGGGTAAAGACGAGTTTTATTTTATTTTTTTAAATTTTGAACGCTAATAACGAGTAAAATATTCATTAAGAGATATGACACATGACCACTTTTATGTCTTCACCCTGTCGACCTTTAATTAAGAACCAAAATTTAATAGTATTAATGCCCCTTTATACGCAAGCTACAGTGCCACATTTCGTTTCTTAAACTTTACCCATTCTGAGATATTGTTTAATATCTCAGAACAGAAAATAAAGAAATTAAACAAATTAGACGCCAACACACACGCGCGCGCGAATTTTTCCCCTTTATTGACTTTTTTGAGGGGTTCGGGAGGTCTCCAAACGTGTAGATTTGCAAAAAAAAAAAAAAAAAAACTTGGAGGGTCAAATTTGACACGATTCCAATACTTTTCCGTTTTATATACATAACAAGTTGGTAAGTAAAAAGGAGTCGGAGTCGGCGGATTTTTTGACGACTCCGACTCCGACTCTGACTCCGGCTAAAACATCAAAACTCCACAACTCCGACTCCACAGCCCTGGTTTGATTTAACAATTTTATTAAATTTGACAAATAAAAAATTGCATTATTTGGAAAAAATGCTATTTCCGACTGGTGTCCTCTTAACTCATAAGTACCAGCAATCATTTGTATCATACTAATTACTCTTTTTATGAAAGAAATTACAAACATAACAATAAGTAATAACTAACATAACTAACAGATATAAGTTACTAGAAATGTAACTAATATTGATCTGATACCAATATATTGGCATATTGGAATGTCCCTGATTTATTAATATTGCTTCATTTAACAAACATATTCCATATGAATCCTTTACATTATTTTGCCATGGCAAACATTGAAATATGGTGATGAACAGAACATCCTCTCTACACATGATTCACCACCAATGACCACATGATGTTGGTTGTTGTTGATTTTAGTGAAGACCATTGTGCAGGAGACCAACTCCTGCACAATGGATCACCAGTTTTTTTGGGAGATCCATAAGAAGACCAGATCAGCCAGTTAATGATTTGGTGACAATTTTTCTATACTATTATAAATTTGTTGAAAGTTTGTTCGAATGTTTTCCAAAAATCATGACTGAAGTTGAGCCTAGATAAACTAGAAATTACAATTGCCTAGGACCTGGATCTAGAAGGATCTCAAACATCAATTTGTACACTTTTATTTCTTCATATTTGAATTTAAATGGTTAGCACACAAAGTGAATATTCTCTAAACCAATGAGCTTTCAGGATTTCATTTATTACCAATACCTGCATAGAATGATAGAACATGTATCAGTATTGGATTGGATTGGATTAAATCAGATTAGTTGGAAAATTATCAGAATCAGATCATATCATCTCTATAAGTTACCTTAGCTAGAATCTATAGGATTTAATACAAATAATAGAGCATGGGATTGAGAAAATAATAAAAATAACATTTATATCAATATATTGTCTTAAAACATTTTATTTTAAAATACACTTACTCCTTGTCTTGAATTCTTGCTTTATCTCTAATTAATGTACTGTCTTTTTCATTTGGTGCCGATGGCATTCCCAGAGAGCCTGATCCCTGATGCTGATGTTGTTTAACATTATAATGATGTTTCTGTTGATGTATATTAACATGTCCATTAATCATTATAGTAACTATTTGAAAAATTATAATTATAAAAAGATATTCCTTGTATAATCTTCTCATTTCTGTAAAATTAAAATATAATACAAATATTAATTTAAAATTATACAATCATATCCAATTGCAAGATTTTATCTCTGCAAAAAGCCAGATGTATTCTGCAAGAGTTGTGGGCCATTTTTTTTTTTATACAAGCAAAATGCCAACAGGAACTACAGCTATCAGAGTGATCCTTCATGAAAAAGTCCATTCTAAAGTTTTCTATATATTACTTCCAAATGAATCAGTTGAATGAAATTAAAATCAGTTTAGACATACTTCTACTTGTAGTATAGTCATATTTAAATAGCAGCCTTTGTATAATAACTAAACCAAATTTTCTTCAAGAATGTTTCAAGCAAATTCTCATTCACATTTGAATAATAATTTAATCTTGTTAATACATGATGTGTAAAACAGGGTAAACATTACACAATTTTGCTGGTAAGTCATGGTTGGCAAACAGGTTTGTTGCCCAACAATCTTGGTGGAAAGGACAAACACTAGATAATATTTTCCTCCAGCAACTAGTCTTGTAAGATAATGTGAATAAAGTTTTTGTTTGAATATGCTATTTGTACTATTATAAAAAATACTATTACTTTACCAAGACATTCAGGATTGTCTGTAAATTGAATAATACTATTTTTATTTTTATATTTTTATAATAAAAAACAAAAAAAACTATTTTTATACTTTTAACTACCATCATTGTGACAACATTTGGTAATGTGTGACAACATTTTGGAGCATTCCAAGAGGTTAACTCTTGGAATGCTCCAAAATGTTGTCACACATACCCACCCCCAAAAAATGCATATCATTACTCAATCCCCCATAATTACACTAAGGGATACTGAAAAAAAAAAAATCACATGCATTATGTAATTTACAAACATACTCTTCACTAATCGGTTGCTGTGGTAACAAACTGTTGTGTTTTCCAAACTTTTGGAAAATCAATGTTGGTCAATTTCCTTTTTTGGGAAACATTTTGTGATGTCAAAATCTGCAACAGACTACAGTGAATTTCAAAATGATGCTGTTTGTCCTGTTTAACAACAATTCATATGCATCTAACATCAGTTAATAACCTCATTTTAGCATTACACCTATTTTATAAACATTCTAGTTTCTTCTTTCAAAGAACCAACACTATTTTAAGCAACGTTCTCAGATAGTTTTCTAATTTTCTCATCTTTAAATTTCTGTCAACTCTCATAAATTGTTTAACGCTGGAGGAGGAAGGTTTCAGATTTTATATCTTGCACCAATTACCCTAAATCTACAATTCTTTTGGATTGAATCTATGGTTTTTTTTTTTAACCCCGTAGGCATTTCACAGCCTCTTTTTAGCAAGTCCATTATGAATTTGGCAAAGTCTGCAATGAGGCAGCCTAGAGATGAGGTGCAGGTCCAACACATTAGGACAAACCAACTGAAAAAATTCCAGAGGTTTTTTTGATCCTCCTGATTCAATCCTGGGGTCCCCAGAATCCTGGAAGCTGCCACCCAGGACGCCGCTTACAAAAAATTTGACCCTAAATAGGAGTAAATTTCTCGTAAGGCACGTGAAGAAAACCCACGTGGTCGAGCCATTGCAGTCGAGGTGTGAACCCTCAACTGACTATCAGTGTTGAGTGGTTCAATTCTTTTGGATTTTTGCTCATATATGGCCTTTGGAATCCTTGTAATTGGCTTTTGACAGAATAAAATCTTTCCATTAAAATTTGACTTACTTCAACCTTTTCAAAATATAAAAAGTTTGGATTTTTCTCAATTTTAATTACATCTTCCTTCCAACAAGCCGGCTCGGTATATCATGTGGGATTCATTAGTCGAAATTGACAGCTAAAATTACACCCTCTGACGGATACATTAGAAAATATTTCGAAATTATTCTAAAAGAACGTAATTCGGTCGTTCGAAATTAGTAACAAGATACTCGTATAAAGTTCGAGACATATTTTACGTCTTATAAAATAAAATATCATGTTTTACTTTATAATATTTTTTACATAAGTATTATAATATAATACTTTATGTTCGCATCAATCGTTATTATCGTTAGTATCGTTATTATTTATAAATTAATATTCGGATTTTTTAAATTAATAAAAGCTATTTTCATCTCATAGACATTAATAAGCGTGAAGCATATAACGAAAAAAGAATAGTTTTTAATTGTTCTGTGCAACAACAGAGTCATGCCGGTCATCTATCTAACACCTTTTGGGGGAACATTTTTGAATTGAAATAACGTTTCTTCCGATTTGCATCGGAAGTTTGTATACAGTTACGCAGGGCGTCCCACCCCTACGGTTTCCATATCTGGTCTCGTCTTTCATGTATTTAACTGTGTACTCCAGATTAAGCAAAGACAGACAAATACAACAGTGAGAATTTATAAATCAACAATTTTTTTCAAATTGCAGCCCAAAAAGTATAATTTCTGTAAAACAGAACTTTCCTATTGCGAATTTTTTTCGAGATTTAGCGATTTCGTTATAGAGAACATTGTCTGTAAATTCAATATATATATATATGCCAAATTGCATGCTTTCTAAGTATGCAAAAATTTTTAAGTTTTTATCGCCCAGGGAACCGTCGCCCATTTTGAATCGACCAGTTGTCGCGTACCTCGATATAGCCTGTGACGTTTTTATTATATGGCAACACTGTTGTGTTTTCTACAATTAAAAGCCATGAATTTTCACGATTATCGTATTATTCCTTTAACAGACAAAGAGAGCATAAATAAATTGGTAATTATACAAATTATGTTGCTAAATTAAATTTAGATTAAGGCTAATGAAGTGTTTTTAAAAGGTGAAATTGACAGTCTAACAAGTTCGTTCAACACGTGACTTTAGTCGCGTCGCTTGGCGCTAGCGACGATGTACAGACTTATAAACCGTAACGTTTTAAACAAGATTTTACGATCGGCAGAACTTAGTACTTATTCCTTTATAATTAATGACTGAATTAATGTATACTGCAGCAATTGACACTCGCACGAATGCATAGATGTGTTAATAATCGCGTGGCGTCACTTCGCGACGTGGCGCGAGAAAGTCGCGCCTCAAACATCACGTGTTAAACTAGCACATTAGCTTATAAAACTAAAATCTCAAGTTCTTAATGAGAAATCGTTGGTGAAACTTTAAAGCATTTGATAAAAGTTATTGGAAAATTATTTTATAAAAAATAAAAAGACAAAAAAGTTGAAATTTAAGGATTTTAATGCTTCTATTTCATCACATTCTTTTAATGCTTCTATATTCATCATCACAAACTTAAGCAGAGAGAACAGAATTATGTTAACTCCTCTTGTTGATGAGAGTTTGCTTATCATCAGGAACAAATGGTTATTTCTGCCCTTTGAACACTAAGAGAACCTGAAAAAACCCATCTTAGAGCCCACAGATTCAGCCAGGCCCACAATGGGATGACTGGGTAGTGAGGGATGGGACCCAACATACTGAGGACAGACCACCCCCAAAAAATTTGAGATTTTCAATTACCCAGATTTGATTTCAGGAACACAAGAGTGGCAGGCTGATTTCTGAGTTGTCTTGGCTGCCCAGCCATCCAGTCTGAAAATACTAGAGACATTTTATAAATATAAACATCTGCATCAAACCTGATACATAGCAATAACCCTCCAACTGTCGTATATCCTTCTAGGGCCAAATTTAGTAATAAGTTATAATTATTATTGCCAAATTATAGCCCGTGGATATACAGCAGTTGGAGGGATAATTATTAGAGACATTTTGACTTTAATAATGTAATATCTTTGATTTCCTTGAACTTCTAAGGGTCAATATGTATTCTGTTGTTGAGACTTGACAGTTTCGTTTCCTTAGAGCAAAAATATTTTAGAAAACTGAAACATTTTTGGGCTTTAAATCATTGTGAGCAACTAGAAACATAAAGCTCAATAGCATTAGTAATGACATCTTATCTTGATCTTTGTGTCGAATCCTGATTGGGGCTGTTGAGAGGGATTAGCTGCAGATTTTTCTCTGAGCCTGGAGAAAACTTAATTAATAAGGGTCTACTCATCCTCGGGCTCCATATAAGCTCTCAATGGGTCCTGCTTACAATGACAGACATACATCCTGAAACACCTATAACTTCTAAAAAGTTTTTTGTTGCAAAGAATAAATTAGAATTGAATTACTTCTATAGTGCTTCAGTCATAACATAACATGAAACAAAAGAACAGCTTCTTTTTTTTTCATTTAAAGTTACTTTTATGCTCTAAAATAGTTTATAAACCTACCAAATCAAAGTATACAAATTACTAATAATAAAATGAAATCAATGGAGTGGTGTCTGAGAACTTTCAAGTTCCACTATAACAGGTGGCTATTGTCATGTTAGGAGCCCTATACTGTGTATCAGAAATATGTGATAGCTGCATCTTATATTGGAATGGTATTTTATATATATCTAAGATAACATTTCAATATAAGATGCAGCTCTCACATATTTCTGATATATACAGTGGTACCTCAGGTTACGAACGCCCCAGCATACGAAATTTTCAGGATACGACATGAAATTCGAACATATTTTTGCTCCACGATACGAACAAAAACTCACCATACGAAGTTACATTACTTCGCATTTTTCATTTGTTTTTCTTACTACACTTATTTTTTTAATGTATTACTTGGCTTTAATTTGAGTATGTTTTTCGCGTTGGAACGAATTATTTGCTTTTACATGTAATCGTATGGGAAAAGATGATCCACCTTACGACATTTTCATGATACAATCTCAGTTTCGGAACGGATTAATTTCGTATCCTGAGGTACCACTGTATAGGGGTTTGACATACAGGAGCCACAATAAAGGTCTAGAAGAGCCACATGTAGCTCACAAGCTGCAGTTTGGTCAATGGCACAATAAGATCATAGTAGCTAATCCAATAACTAAAATGCGTAGTAAAATTTTTGACATATGCTATAAAATAAATATAAATTATAGTCCAAAGTTCTAATTGTAGAATGTTCTATTGTTCTTTGTTTAAATATTTTTGTTATACAAATGCAGATGACAAAATAGATACAATTAAAAAATGTTTAAAGTAATAAATATAAACTAAACAGGCAATTTTTAGGCTATAATTAGTAAACATAGCCCATAAATTTGTATTACTTAGGCTATTATTTATATTGTACAGGATGGGTCAAAATTTACAATATATATGCCAGATGCTTGATTGGTAATTCCCAGGTCATTGTTTTGGATGCTGTGGTGCTAAAGATCTCAGACATTCAATAGGGTATTCCAAATAAATCTCAATACGGAACCTACTCTTGGGTACTACCAAACATATTTTGACAGGCAGATTTCCGTGAAGTTAAGGTGGCAGCCTAGCACTTTGGAGAACCTGGGATCAAATCGCAGAAATTTTTCAGGGATGGTCCATCTGGATATGTTGGACCCTGTGCCTCAACACCCAGTCGCTCCATTGTAGACCTGGCCAAGCCCATAATGGGACTGCTAAAAATTCCCTCTTAGTGCTTACAGGATGGAAAGTTTAAAAAATCTCAATAAGGTACTATTTTTATTTGGAGGGAATTTGAAAGCTGCAAAATATGGACCATCTGAAGTAATGCATTATACTTTGATATTTTTATTCTATAATTTTATTTTTATTGTTATTAACAAACTTTTAAACTTCATAACTTTGTTTAATTAAGTTATTAATTTCATTTAAATATTTTATATTATGTTAAAAGTTATAATTGCAAATTACATTTTTTTTAATAGACAGAAACTGTGAAATTCTTGAATGCTGCCTTTGAAAATCCTGCTAAATATCTAAGAACAGACAATCTAAGTCAATATTCAGAAAGTTTGTATCTATAATAATAAATAATGTGTTATACAATTTTTATTATTAAATTATTTGATTGTTTTCTTTAGCTAAAGTATGTTTCAAGTCAAAACATATACGGAAGATGCTTAAGAAATATATCGTAAAACACCAGTATGTCAAAGCTGCCAAAGTATTAGAATGTTTGTCTTATGAAACGGATAGTCCTCAACTCATATTTAAGGTAATTTATGATTTTACTGCTTATTAAAAATGTAAAAAATATCTAAAAGATGATAGCATTTAATTTTGTAAACAATAGAAACACATTAAGATCTATTCTGTTAAAATTTACAGTCAACATTATCTGAAGACAAATTCTTCAGTTTGTCTTTATAATTATACAGGATCTTCTAAAATGAATGCTACCATTTTAAATTATTGTAATTATGTTAACTATTATCTGAAAAGTATGCAGCATACACAAATCAATAGAATAACTGTCCAAGTTTCATTTCCCATCTTCATTCAAATGTCATGTCATCGTCTACCATAGTAAATGCCTTAAACAAAAGTGGTGACTCTGTAACAGAGAAAGCATTTTACATTCTGCAGTTTGCAAAGTCAGAATCACTTTGTCATTGTTCAATACAAGCAATCTGTGGGAGCCATAGAATTGTGGGAAGAGTGACAATGGATATGTCATAGAGAGCTTAGGAAGAATTTGAGTTTGGTTGGATGTGTGCCATGTGACACAAGGTGCAAACATTGAGAAATTGTAATAAGCAAATGTGAAACTTGGATGATTTTCTGATGGTTTAGTGTACATTATGACATTTTCAGCTCATGATTAACATACAGGGTCTTCAAAAAAAGAATGCTACCATTTTAAATAATGGTAGCATCTTTTTTTACATTATTAAATGTGACAAGACTTTATAACATATTAAATGTAGATCTATAAATTTCCACTGTAATTCATCTGTCTGTTCTTCCTTAATCTGAGAATGGAGTTAGATAGATGACCAACATGACTTTGTTGTTAACAGGAAAAGTATGATGTACAGGGGCAAAACACTACTAAAAAATTGAGAATATTGTGATGAAAAATTGCAGCCCGGTTTTGTGACAATGTCACAATAAATAATTGCTTGTTAAAATTTCTTTTTCATTGCTAATGAATGTGGCTTAAATTCAGTTATTTGTATGATATTGAAGGATCAAATGAAAAGTTTACTTTAAGCAATAGACTTTAGCAAATATCTTACCATAATTCAGATGCATAGTACGATAGTAATTCTGTTAGTTGTTATAAGAAATACAAATTTTGAACATTTATTTACTACAGACTCAAGAGATAACTAAATAAATAAATCATGGAGTTTGATGGCACATGCAACTCTCAGCATTAACAAATCTACTCCTCACAAGCAAACTTTTCATTGGATCATCCTGTATTATTTTTTACCTTATTATTTTGATATATATTATTTAGGCAGGATTTCAAACTCTAGAAAATCATCCAAATACAACACAAGATACTATTCTACAGTTTGTAAGGTAAGCTTTTTCTCATCTCTATCTTTTATTTTTATTATATAGCATAATTAATAATTTTTTCTAGACATCTTCTGTGTCTCCATTGTTTATATAAAAGTGAAATTGTTCTTGAATGTGTTATCTATCTAATAAAGCACAACAGATTTACAGAAGCTCAACAACAACTACAAGTATGTTAATTTGTTTATATTATATTATATTCTATATTAATTATTTAATATTTTACAGGCTTTCAATGCAAATAAAGCTAGACAATCATTAAGAACCGATCCTTTGATTGAAGAAATATTATGTGGATATAATGGATTATTGCACTATATTGAATGGGCTCAAAAGAAAGTAAAAATTGATCAAATTGGTATGTATATAGTTACCAAAATTGGTACAGTTTAATGTCAAGTGTCTGAGAAAAGATAGCATTAAAATATGTTAATAAAAATTCTTCAAAATCAAATTCAAAATAATAAAATTTACTTTATTTAAAGTGAATTTATTTACTTAAAACAAACATGGCCCATCTTCATCAGCATAAATTCTATTTAAATATTATACAAGGTGTAATTTCTTGGAACTTTAGGCTTACACGTAAAGTTCCAAGAAAGATATTGTCCTGGTTTAGTGAAGTGTACTATGTTGCTCTGCTGCTAGATGTGACCACCAGTATCAGAAAGGAACAAGTCTACAAATTATTGTTGCCATGGAAAGTCTTGTCTGTTAATATTGTGCATTTCTGTAAAATTGTGTTCAAGCTATTTTACAATTGACATTATGACTTACTTGAAGAAACAAAGAATTTGCATAAAATTTTGTTTTGAGCTGGGAAAGATGGTGATAGAAACCCACTAAATGTTAAAACAAACATTTAGAGATGAAGTCACAAATTCACCAAGACTAAAAAAATGTGTCAAATCCAGAGCAACATGAAAACAATGTTGATCTAGTTTTTAGACATCAAAAGACTTTTATCCACAAGGAATTTGTCCCATAAAGACAGACAGTGAATGGGCTGTTTTACTGTGGTATTCTGGGGCACCTTAGAGAATAGGTTTGACAGAAATGTCTTGAGATATGAAACAAATCATGGGTGTTGCATTGTGACAAAGCACTGGCCCATTCTTTGTTCATTGTGTATCAGTTTTTAATTTCTACAAACATGACTGTCATTTCCTATCTTCTTACTCACCAACTTAATTCCCCTGTGAGTATTTTTCATTCCCAAAAATGAAGCTGAAGGGAAAAAGACTTGAGATGGTAGATGAGGTTAAGAGCATAACATGGGATACACTGAAGGAAATGACAGAAAATAACTTCTATGGGTGCTTCCAAGCAATAAAAATCACTATATACTATACACAGTTTAAGTTAAGTTTCCAAATTCTACAATCAAGCAAAAGCAGACAGTTTAGGAGAATGTAGAATGTTAAAAGAACATTTAACTTTTTTAATTTATAATACTTAAATTATCTGCAAAGGCAAAAATATGTCTCTGAAGGTGAGCTAGCAAGACAATTGGACTCTACGTAATTAAATTAATAAATTCACTTCAATAAAGTATAATGAGTCAAATAAATTAGCAATTACTAGGAATATAGCTTATGAAGTAAAAGCAAATACTAATCAGCATTTACTTAAAAGAAGAAGCTTTGGCTTGAAATTGATATGAATAAATATTGATTATCATTCTTTCTTTAGTGTGTATGTTGTTAACTGCCATTTTTCCATGGTTTTCTTGTCCTTGTATGGCACGAGCAGCCACTGGGCTACACCATATTCTTCATCCCCTAACATCAATATATTTCACAATTGTTTCATGATTTCTGGCACATTGCATCACTCTCCAGATAAAGCTGTCATGGACAGATGTAAGTTAATGCACATTGATACTTGTGAAATATTCCTTCATATTATAAGTCCCTTGTACATTGATAATGGGAAACTTTCCAACCAGCATGGTCACATTCCAAAACTTTTAGTTTGCAAATTTTGGTATGCATGTGCTCCAATGGCACATGGCATAGTAAACTGTTTTTGCCAAAGTTTCTTTACATGCTTTGTTCTTCAGGCATTTTTCGAAACTTAATGTATTGGTCCCTCTTTAAAATGGCATTCATTACTTGAAGAAAAAATGGGACATAAAAGATTATACATTTCACATGAAATATATGTACATTAGGAATAGCTTTGCATACTCTATTTTGATCTATGCCTGTATCCTCTGCTATACTAGTTTGAAACGTAGGATCGACAAGATAATGCAAAAAAAAAACATCTGATGTTTTGGAAACAGCATCACCATGCTTATTACACTCATTTTGAAAAATAGGTTATTCATCTATGCTATATTCCTCATCAAACATGCAAGTTTGTTGAATGTTCTAGTGTCAGAGTTCTGTTGTCTTTCAACATAAAACTTTTTCTTTCTAGGAAGACCTAAGACAGATTGTAAAAGAGCACACACATTTCACTCATAAATATGATCATAAAATACTCATAAACCTGTAATATCCTTTTGTAGTACTGTGACCTGACCTGACCTGACCTGACCTTTCTGTTTTGGAATTCAAGCTATGCCTGAGTAGCTATGGATTTAGCAATTCCTTCTGCTGATATTCTTATGCTTTTGTAGTATTTCCTACTGAAATTTGCAAACACAGTTGCTTCTTAAGTAAATGCTTTTTAACTTCTAGTATGAAGCAGTCGCTTATATTTATTCATTTGACTCATTACTGTCCTAGCAACTTTTTCAGTTTTGAAAATTTTTGGAAATTTAAATATGAGAAAAAAAATAACATAAACACAATTCTTAGATTTATTATTTATACTTCAATTGATATAGTGTTAGGAAGAACTCTTAAGGCCAGTGCACGAGCAGCAAAAATTGAGTTGGTAATGAGTGAAAATGACATATTAACCAGTCATTAGTGATGATTGTTTTAATATTGCTGTCTATGTGCATCAGTCTTTGTAGTTTCTATTTTTTTAGAAATTAGAGGTTTTATTCTTTTGATTTTATAACACCTTTATAATCTTTTCATTAAATATTTCATACAACAATGTTTATCAGAGTATTAATAATGTCATTATTGATTAAATCACACTCATTCAATTTTTAAGTTTCTCCTTAGGAAAGTTGGTAAAATACAGATGAAAATATTAGAAATTAAAGTGGTTAATGCAATTTTTAACGTTTTTGGAGTGTTTTTTGCTATTCAGCATTGCATTTCTCAGTAGTTAAATCATACTCTATATCCAATTTTAGAATAATCTACATTTCTTAAAGTCATATTTATCACTATTTATTATGGTTGAAATTGTGTTGTTCCTAACTTACTATGACTCTATTGTGATATAACTAATCAACATTTCTGTTTTTATTAATTTACTGTAAATTACCATTTAAGCACCTCAAAATTCAAGGGAAACTATAATGAGATTGAGACAGATAAATGGTAGAGAGAAAAATTGACTGCTTTTTTAACTGAAAACTTAAATAATAATGCTTGAAAGTAAATTAATTACATTAATTAAAAACTCCAGCAACAAGTTGCATAACTTTTCCACAAAACAAATGTTGTGGTATGTGTATCAAAGCACTAATAATGTTATCTGAGGAATTCACACCGGTATGAACAGTAACAAAGTTTTATTGTTTGATGTAAGACCAAATACACAGGAGCAAGAATGCCTACATCTTTCTTGCCTTGCGTTGAGGAGGAAAAAGAGAAGGTTTGGGAGTCATGCGTGATGATGTCACAAAAGATTCACCAATCAGAGGTGACTGGCTGTACCTATTGCATGATCAACTCCAACCAATAGGCTGCCACAACATTTATGCTTAAAGGTTATTCTCATATCTTTTATAGGAGCCAAAATGGAAGTGTTAAGAAATACTAAGACACATTAATACAAAGTTAAAATTGTGTGGCACCATCTGTTATGAGATTTTATTTTTAAAAAAATATATTATTAATTATTACAAAATGACAAAAAGCATACTTTTGTGGGTAAAGATGAGTTTTATAAAAAATTGTAAATGCTAATAATGAGTAAAAATATTCATTAAGGGGTGGGGATATAGAGGGGATCACGTGCCATCTTGAGATATGACACGTGATCCCCTCTATATCCCCACCCCTTTGACCTTTAACCACCAAAATTTAATAGCATCAATGCCCCTTTAATACAAGTTACCATGCCAAATTTTATTTCTTAATTTTTATTCCATTCTTATATGCATACTGAGATATTAAACAAAATAGATGCCAACACACTTATACATATATACATATCCCAGAAATTTTTTTCTTTTTAATTATTTTATTTTATTTTATTTTTTTACTCTTGGGTTCAGAAAGTCTCAAAACATTGAGACCCATAGGTGAAATTTGACACGATTACAATACTTTCATGTACTTTGAAATGTATGTACTGAATAACTAAATATTATAAAAAAGCACACCGTTAACAATCCAGCAAATAAAATTTACTAAATTAAAAGCATTTTCAATTGTTTTAACCAATCTTCTTCAGTTAACCACATGAAAGTGTACAACACATGAAAGTACTCAACATAGTACATAACAGCTGGGAAAGTAAAATGAATAATTAATGACAAAAAATAGCACTTAATTACATTAACCCCCTAACATTTTTGAACTCAGGATCTTAAAACATCCATAAATTAAAAAACTTTGGGAGATTTTCTGTGTGTATATTTGTATGTGGGGGCAAAATTTTGTTCACCCTCTTTGAAACTTAATAACTCTTGAGCTTTTTGTTGAAAATTTCTGCAAGTTTGCAGAGAGGTTTGTGTATTAAGGGGATTGATGCTATTAAATTTTGGTGGTTAAAGATCGACATGGGACAATAGAGGGGATCATGTGTCATATCTTCAGTGGGTCAGACGTAATGACAATTTTTACTTGTTATTAGCATTTACAATTTTCTATAAAATGCATCTCTACCCTCAAAATTAAGCTTATTGCCATTTTATAATAATTAAAAATATGATATTTTGTTAAAAAACTTTTTATAACGGATGGCACCACCAAATGTTGCCGGGAAAGTTAAGCAACTTGTTGGATTTTTAATATTTGAATGATATTACTGTATTCATTTTCCGATCTGAAAAATTATATTGAATTATGTTGAATTATAAAGAATGTATGAGTTAATAATTGTAAGCATTTATATTTTTGTAATAAAATCTTTATTTTTTGTAAAGATGATCCTTTTGATCTTTATTCCGAGGAAGAAGCTCAAAATAGATGTGCAGAGAGAGCCTTAAATATATTTCAGAATTTACTTAAGAATCCAGGGCGATGGGATATTTTTATATTAAAAGTCATTGAGGTTTGTCTGTCTATTTTTCTATTTTTATTTCAGTTTATTTTGCTGTTTTTTGAGTTTATTTAATAATATCTGTTTTCTAAAGATTCTAGAAAGTTATGGAAAAATAGATGACATTGAAGATGCATTAGTTCAGTATGCAGAAATTAATCCGGATCATTTGAATGCATATATTTATCTTTTGGAATTCTCCAGTAAACATTCATTTCTTGAACATATGCAAGAAGAATATTTGCAGGTAATTTATGTTAAATTTTATTCATTTGGAGCAGAAACTGTTTGGAAAATTCAAGCACTGTAAGACTATATACTCTCATTAAGAGTCAAAACAGAATAATATACAGGATCTTCCAAAATGAATGCTACCATTTTAATTTAATGTAATTATGTTAACCACTCAACAGTGTAGGATGGATATATTCGTTAAATTCTTTTGGGGGTATCGCCAAAAACTACCACGAAAAAAAAATTCACATAAATAATGAATTATGTAACAATAAAAAAAGACTTTTCCTTACTAGACATAACTGTTTACAAAATCTTTTTCCAAAATGGTAATAAGAAAAAACATGTGAAAAAATACTTTAAAAATTTCCCACATTTATTCTCCACTGCTTTGGGGTAGCACCATACCTGACTATCCCATTGTTAAAGGTTAATTATTATCCAAGAACATTGTAACATACATTAAAACATTGGAAAACTGTCCAAGTTTTATGTTTATCTATTACCATTTCTCAATGTGTGCCCCTCATGCCACAAGGCAGATATACAACTGATACTCAAATTCTTCCTACATTTGCAACAGCATATCTGTTGTCACACCTCCCATAGCAAACACAGTTCTATGGCACCAGCAAATTACTCATGTTGCATAATGATGAGTTAGTCCAGCTTTACAAACTGCACAACACAAAATGCCTTTTCTGTTGATGAGTTTTGTTTATGGTGCTTCCTAGATGTAGTAGACGAGAAGACATTTGAATGCAGTTGGGAGACAAAACTCAGATGGTTACTCTATCGATTAGTATATGTCACATACTTCTTGAATGATAATTAACATAATTACAGTAATTTCAAATGGTACCTCCATTTTCATTTCCTGGTAGATCATATATTTCTCTTCTTGATTTCTGTTGATGATATGTAGTAATTATCTATTTTAAAAGGCAATAAGTATAAATCCCAGCAAATCAGTTTATTTCGAAATGTATTTAGGCCTAAAGTGTTTTTCATTATTCTCAATACATACAAGATTGTTGCAAATCATAGCTTTATAAATACAGGTATGTGCCAATTAACAAATTCCTGTCAAAATACATTATTAAACAAACAACATAGAGTGTACTTAGTAAATCTTATATGGTAGGCATTCAATTATTCCACAGTTTTGTCCACATAGAGAATGTTGAGTCCAAGAAATCATGAATTTCACATACATAATGTGTTGGCTCTTGTTACCAAATAAAGTTTGCAATTTTTACATGCAAGCTTGTACTTTTGATACTGAATTAACTTTTACCCCAATCTCTGTATAGCTAAAATTATAGTTATTTTATTTTTATATCAATAGTACTGTCTTGTAGGAAGTTCTTTGATACATTTGTGTAAGAGAAAAACAGTGATGTAATTGATGCAACCTCTTAGCAAAACTTCCAGATAATTGGAAAAGAAACTGAAAACATTTTAGAGCTAGGCAGAGATGAATACTAAAGAAAAAATATATTTGTTCAGATGTAAATCCATGATGCTATTTTGGTAGTCAGATAACATACACTTGAGCTACTCCAGATCCAAGAATATAAAATAATTGGTAATTGTGAGTGAGCCTATCCATAATGTAGTTGAACATGATTGGTAAAGGATAACAAAATGATCCCTTTATCCTATATCTACGAGGGCTATTCGGAAAGTTCACGGCCTCAAATAGAACAACAAACAAAATAATGTTAAAACTTTTTTTATTTTTTAATGTAGTCTCCATTGTTAGCAATGCACATATTCCAGCAATGTTCTAGCTTTTTTATGCCATCACAATAGGTCGATTTGTCAAAGTGTGCAAAATACTCGTTCACTTCAGAGATGACTTCGTCATTTGAGTGGAATCTCTTTCCAGCCAAGAATTTTTTTAGGTTTGGAAAAAGGTGGAAGTCACTGGGGGCAAAATCAGGTGAGTACAGTGGATGTGGAACTAATTGGAAGCGAAGTTCATTTATCTTTTGTTCAGTGATTCTGGCAGAATGTTCAGGTGCATTATCGTGGTGGAACAGAACCTTTTTCTTCTTCAAGTGTGTCCTCTTTTCTTCGATTTCTTTCTTCAGTTTTTCCAAAAGTTCACAGTAATAGACAGCATTAATAATGGTCTTTCCTCTTTCTAGGTAGTCAATAAAGATGATGCCTTTATCATCCCAAAAAACCAAGGCCATCACTTTCCCTGCTGATGGAACTGTCTTTGCCTTCTTTGATGGTGGCTTTGACTGTTCTTTTGTTTCAGAAGTGTAGTAATGGATCCACATTCCATTGCTTCGACTGTTCTTTTGTTTCAGGAGTGTAGTAATGGATCCACATTGCATTGCTTTGACTGTTCTTTTGTTTCAGGAGTGTAATAATGGATCCACATTTCGTCAGTAGTGACAAACCGATGCAAGAAATCCTGTGGGTTTTTCTGGTAGAAGTCCAAACACTCTTTTGACATCAAAGTGTGAACACGTTTTTGCTCGGTGGTCAGCAGACGTGGCACCCACCTTGCTGAGACTTTCGTCATACCCAAATTTTTGGTTAGGATGTGGTGCACTCAGTTGACAGAGATGCCTATTGTCTCAGCTATCTCACATGTTTTCAAAGGCGATCTGCTAATACCAAATCTGAACTTTGTCGATATTTTCTTCAGTGACAGCAGTTGACGGCCGTCCGCTATGAGGGTCATCTTCCACACTCTCTCTGCCAGATTTTAAAAGGGCTGTCCATTTTTTCACAGTGGTGTACGAAGGAGCAGACTCTTCCAAAACTTCATCCATGTCAGCTTTGATTTGAGATGGGGTCAACCCTTTTTTTGTCAGGTATTTTATGATCGCACGAGTCTCCGTCTTCTCCATTTTTTGACAAAGCATGTGCACACTGACTATCTGCTAAACCAGTGTTTCTCAACCTCTAACGAATCGTCGCCCCCTTCAATAGTATCGCCCCTTCACTTCAAAATTCCGATGCCGAGGGACAAGGCTAACACCAAATTCGTACTGCATTGAATAGACTAGTGACTAGTATAATGTTATTTGTTTAATTATTGTACGATATAACGAATAAAATATCTAATTATTCTTAATATAATGTTTTACTATATCGCCCAGAAAATTCTTTTTCGCCCCCCAAAATATAAATTGTTACTAATTGCCCCCTCAACATGGAAAAATGCCCACATGGGGGCGATATCACCCCCATTGAGAAACACTGTGCTAAACTTTTGTGGCAAAACTTTATGACAAATCAAGTGGAAATTGGTATCGTATCTCTAACAAAGATGGCTGAATTATTCCCGCCAAAAATTAAATTGATCACAGCACCGCATATAGGCAAGGCCACAAACTTTCCAAACAGCCCTCGTATAATGATATTCATACTGCCTATGAAAATCATAATAAATGGATGATTATTTTTTAAAAAGATATAAATCAATATTCCTTATAAAATAAATTACACTGTTTATAGGTTTATAAATATGCAGTTTTCAGGAACTTCTATAAGATTTGTATCATTGTATAAGTATATAAAAAGAAAACATTACTTTAAGTAAAGGAGAAACATTTTCAGACCTCTATTCAGATCAACTTCAGGCCATGATAAGGTTGAAACAAATGCAGGATACACATGGTTTATGAGCTTCTGGAACACCTTGTGTATCCTGTGTTCATTTCAAATGTTATTGTGAGCCAAAGTTGTTCTGAATAAAGGTCCAAAAATGTTTCTTGTTTTCTTAAAATAGCAGTATTTTCTTGATGCTTATGCAGTTTTCTTATATACAGAAAAATTTGATATTAAAAAATACAAATGTGTAATGTGATTATTTATACATAAACAGTTTGAATTTAAATTAAATAATTTAACAAAAACTGTTTTACTGTAGAAGATAAAATCTCTTTGTCCTTCGGATAAAAGGGTATTGAACTACGTTTCACTTATTAAAGAGAAAGGTATTTAAACTGTAACTTTTTTCTTTTTTTAAGTTATCTTTAATGATAAAAATGATTAAATTTTACTTATTCTAGATGTTAAGGGCAGTGTTGATATACTTCTTGATTATTTAAACTATGCTTCAAACAAGGATGATCTTCAAGGATGGACAATGCTTGCAGATATACTGTTACAGATATTAAACAAGTAAGTTGTTGTGAAATAATTAGCATAGTAATAACAATGAATATTAAGTATAAATGTTATAATTTACTAAAGGTGTTTAGATAAATACATTAAAAATTTTTATGCCAATATGTCATTAAATTTGCAAACTAGATATACAGGTATACCTCGCCTTACGTCGGTAATTGGTTTCAGGAGAACGACGTAAGTCGAATTTACTTGTCTCCAAATCTACTTGTCACTAGGCTAAACCATAAATTGCCAATTCTGGTTCTGTATTTTATTTATTAATGCATTTTTAATAATGTATGGTTAATAAGGATCTATTTTAAGCTTACAAACAAATAAATTTTAGTTTTTAATATAGTACAGAAAAAAGTAATCTAAATTTACAAATGCATGTACTGTAAATACAGTACATACTTGTAAATGTATATATTTTAATATGATTTTATGTTCAATAAATAAAAAGACAGTCAATTCCAAAAAATTTTTGTTAAAACTTTGGTCGATCACCTTTTATTTCTGTTAAAATTTCAGGATAAACTTCAGCGACCAGACCTTCCTTTTTAGGCTACACGGTCGCCTATAAAACAGTGCTTTAAAATACAGAAATAATCCAATTTAAGCATTAAAACTTGTAAAAAAAGTTGTAAAACATTGGAATTGTGATCTTTCGACGTCTTTAGGTTTTCATCCTTCTTCCATTCGGGAGTAAATATAAGGATCCCAAACTTAAATTGGATTATTTCTGTATTTTAAAGCACTGTTTTATAGGCGACCGTGTAGCCTAAAAAGGAAGGTCCGGTCGCTGAAGTTTATCCTGAAATTTTAACAGAAATAAAAGGTGATCGACCAAAGTTTTAACAAAAATTTTTTGGAATTGACTGTCTTTTTATTTATTGAAAAATTTTTACATCCAGTGAAATGTTAAAAATATAAAAATGATTTTATGTGCTTTAAACATTTTTCTAGTGATATTACGACTTCAATATTTGTGGCGGACAGACGTAAAGTCGAATAAAATGACTTAAACTTGATTTTTATTTTCCCATATACTTTTTTGACAAACGACGTATAATCGGGAATGACGTAAGTCGAGGTATACCTGTATAGTGAAATAATCATATTTTGTAACAAATTATTCTAATGGCCATATAACTTAAGCAGTAAAGACTTATTGCTAATGCTCTGGAGGACTGGGGTTTAAATTCAGATCTACAGAAATTTTAATAAACAACTTGATCCAGATATGTTCAGTTTTATGCCTCATCTAATTGTATCATTGTGAATGTAGCCAAACTTATACTGGGTATGAAAAAAGTCCTGTTAGTGCTTAGCAGGAAAAAATTCTACGATAAGTTGAATAAAACAATTCTATATATAAATTTTTCAAAGACTTGTACTATTTATCTGTGCTATTAACATTACACTATAACCATCAGCAGTTCCTATGGTGTTGGCTGGGGACTCATCAAGCGCCCTTGTCCTGTAAACTCCCTCATAAGGCATAATGTTATATATATTGGAAGACAGGATCGGACCAGAGGTCTAGGTAATGTAATTGGCAACACATCCTCACGGTAACTGACAGTTGTGGGTTCGAGTCCCACACCAGACTAATTTTCTTCCAGTAGATCTAAATTATTAAATTTATTGAGATGGCACCTAATGCCTCCCTCTAGTATCAAATTGTTTGGTAATTTATTAATTTAGCCAAATAGCATAAGGCAGTGGTTGGCTTTGGTAATACAATGTATCGGGTTTGAGTAGAGTTGTTTGTTTATAAATCTTACTGTATTTACACCTAGACATTATGGCTAAACATTTGTCCATTTAAGTAATAGCATATAAAAAGAACATTTTATGTCCATTTTGCACAGTAAGACAGCAAATGAATTTTTTATCTATTTCATTAATGAGCTTTCTATGATGTATTTACAGATTTTTAAACAAAATCTATAAAAGATTATCTTCATAATCTTAGAAATATTAAACTTTTAATTTAAATATTACAAAAAATGTTTAATTTTTTGTAATATTTAAATTATGATAAAAAGATGAAATTTTTAATTTATACATTTTTATATCAATAAATATATTTTGCAGTTGTAGTAATTATTAAATTACAAATACTAAGGACAGCAGAAAGGCATTGTTGTTATAATATTTGATATCTATTGACCATATATAACCTATTGTTAAATTTAAATAAATTAATCCTTATGTATAGAACTGTATATAAAAAGCCATATAAATGCCTTTAAAATGTAATATGACTAGATATTATCATTTTAGAAATATGGATATACTGAAGGAGAACATGATTAAATGAGTGAATCAGCACAGCATTGGGAGAATGAACAAGGGAGAGGGGATAAAGAAAGTGGACAAAGATATTGTGAATGGCTAGTCAGTGGTTGGATTCTTTAAAAAAGAAAGAGATCATGAACTTATGTAAAGAGGAGAATAGGCCAAGACAGTTAAGAAAGATATCAGCCTAAAACACTAGGGAACCCAGAATCAAATCCAGATTAGTCAAAATCCCAGGAATTTTTTAGAGGTCCATCCTGGATATGTTAGGCCCAATCTTTCATCACCCAGTTACTCCACTATGAGCTTAGTTGAACCCATAATAGGCCTGGAAAAGGCCCTTTAGTGCCCATTGTGCAGTGCATGAAAAAATGCATGCTTTGTTAGAGTGATATAGTGCAGGAGTAAGTGAAACTATTACATCTGCTTGTTGAAAAACATAAGATTGAGAAAATGCATGACATTATGTTATGTTACAATTATGCATAATGGTTGTTATACAAATATAGATACTAGAAAGACTTTTTTAGTTAAAATTTATAATTTATGAGGTTCTCAAATTATAACGTTTAATATCAATATGTTTGCTAATTATTATTATTATTATTATTATGAATTTGCAGTTCAATCGATATTGACTTGGATGATATATGGAGTGAATATGAAAATTTCTGGCCCAGCTATCAATTTTCTACATCGGAACTAAATGTTACGGACAGAAATTCTGCAAAATTGATTTTACTAAAGGCAATGGTTTTGTCCATTTTTGAAGACATTGAAAGTGGTAAAAAATAATTTATTTTGTAGTTTTTTTCTTATTAAAAATCACTACTGTATACAAGTAAAAAGACATACAATACCTTTAAGTTAGGTTTACACCAATGGTTCCCAATTAGTGGTATGCGTACCCCTGGGGATACGCGAAATTGCATCAAGGGGTACGCGCAGCAATCTAAAATCAATTGATTTAAAATTTAAATGCATGAGATGAAACAATCAAAAAAATAATGGGTGGACCATTTTGGCAATTTACAACATGATGTGGAATGCACAAATTTGTTTATTTATAACTAAAAATATTCTCGAAATTTCATAAAAAAAATGCATTTGTGACAATACCTAAATGAAATTCTTGCGCAAGAAACAAAAATTGTACAATTAACACAATTTGTGTTAATTGTACAATTATCATTATCATCATGTCAGCGAAGCGGCAATAAAATATTTTCTACCATTTTGCACAGCATACCTCTGCGAGAGCAGATTTTTGGCCATGACAAACATGAAAACTAAACATCGTCACCGACTTCAACTCGAAGATGACTTGAGACTGAAGCTGACCAAAAAGAAACCAAATTTTACAAAGTTGTGCAAAGAAAATCATGCACATTTGTCACATTAAAATTGAATAACTTTATGTTATTTTCATTATTATTAGAATTGTATTTTAAAGGTAATAAATGTAAAAAAACTTATTCTATTTATCACTTGCTGTCTACCCACAGCTTCACCCACATTATATTGAATTTTCTCGTGGGAGTAAGATATTTTCTCGCAGTAAAATGTAGCCTATGTCCATCACCAACATGTAAACTATCTCTGTGCCAAATTGTATTAAAACCTGTTCAGCGGTTTAGATGTGAAAAGAAGGTAACAGACAGACAGCCAGACAGAATTACCTTCGAATTTATAATATTAGTATGGATTAATATGAATTTCTGCTATAAGGTGTTCACAAGTTTGAGCTCTTTCTCGAAGTGGTACGCAGGAAAAACTAATTGGGAACTACTGGTTTACACCATCATAGAAATTATTATGAATGAATGTAATTGGTTGAACAGGTTTTGAACACTAATTGTGAAAAATTGATTGGTGAAATGAATCCAAGTTTGTCAAACATTGAGATATTTCCAACTCCTAACAAACTAGTCAAACAATTGCCGAAACGGGACAGACTGACAGTTCGTATCTATTTTGTAGTTATGCCAATGCAAACTTAGCTTTATTTGTGTATAAAAGTTAGAAATGCATAAAACACTTTTTTTATATTGATTTTATCTATTCACTTTGCTTTCTTCTTTTAATTAAATATTATCAGGAAACTGTCAAAATCAATAGTGTTATTCAGTTAAACACAATCAATAAGCTTGTTTAAAATTTGGCATTCTACACAAAAATCATCAAGCATCATAGCAGTTGTTTTCCAGATCTGTCTGCAGGTGATTTGCATATACTATGAGGTCCTCTCATCAGTCCTGTCTCAGTGGCTTCTTAAGACTGACCAACTTCAACCTGACATGGCTTCAGATTAACAGTGATGGTAGTGGTGGCCTGCCTCATGTCAATCACCACTTAGATCTACCAACAGTCAAATGTTCAAGTGTACTCTTTTTGTTGATAGGTTTGTTGATAAATCCGTTAATCAGCACTAAGTAACAAATTGAATGGTTAGAGTGAAGATCTTATTGCCGTTCCTTCCTAACTCCGTCTCGTTGAGTTATTTTCTTGTGTTTCACGACTCGATGTAATGAATCAGGTTCATTGGAAAGCACACCTCCACACTCAAATTGAATATATGTACAGTTTATTTACAGTTGTAGAAAGTACAAGTTGGAAAACATAGCGTATATACAGGATAATCATGCATAGTAAATTCACGTGCCAGATTGGTGTCTGGGAACTAATAACCTTTGGAGAGACCTCAGTCAGATTGTGGAGTCGGCTCAACTACACAGTCGGTCCGGTCTCAGCACTAACCCGTCTCTGAGAAGATCAACAGATGAGAACACTCTCTCTTTACGCTCAGCGGGCTTCCCAAGTGTCTGAGACAACCGTGTACCAGTCTCTTGCCCTTCTCTCCTTGACTCTCGTTCGCCCCGCAATTTAAGGGATTTTGGAATGGGAACTTCCGACCAATCACAACCCTTTTTTATGCCCGAACAGCTTACACTCAGGTCCGCCGTCATCCGACAAGATGAAGCTTACACAAACGTCCGCCACTTGTTTATGTTCGTTTGTTTACCATTACCGTCTGACTGCAGGTGAGTCCAATTAACAAAGCCGGCGCTTCCTTTGTTTACCCTTGTTTACAAGTCAATACTTTACAAGTGGTATTACCCGACCGCACGTGGGTCCAATTGACAAGGTCACGCCTCTTTTGTCCCCACTCTGCTAAAAGGTCACTACTTTACAGTTAGAATCATATTTTGGTCTCCTCATGGAATAACAGTAAAATAAAAACAGAGATTGGTGCTAAAAATTGATAGACGACACTAGCTAATTTTGACAAAACTACTTGTNTTTGCTTTCTTCTTTTAATTAAATATTATCAGGAAACTGTCAAAATCAATAGTGTTATTCAGTTAAACACAATCAATAAGCTTGTTTAAAATTTGCCATTCTACACAAAAATCATCAAGCACATAGCAATTGTTTTCCAGATCTGTCTGCAGGTGATTTGCATATACTATGAGGTTCCTCTCATCAGTCATGTCTCAGTGGCTTCTTAAGGCTGACCAACTTCAACTGGCATGGCTTCAGATTAACGGATGATAGTGCTGGCCTGCCTCATGGCAATCACCACTTAGATCTACCAACAGTCAAATGTTCAAGTGTACTCTTTTTGTTGATAGGTTTGTTGATAAATCCGTTAATTGGCACTAAGTAACAAATTGAATGGTTAGAATCATATTTTGGTCTCCTCGTGGAATAACAGTAAAGTAAAAACAGAGATTGGTGCTAAAAATTGATAGATGACACTACAGCCAATTTTGACAAAACTACTTGTAATTTAATAAATTTAAACTCTTACACCTCTATTTAAATAATAATGTTAAAAAATTAATGTAAAAAGTCTTTTAATTAACACATAACACAGGTCTACAAAAAGAATTTTTTTTTTCAGCTGCATGGGATATTTTTGCTGAATTATGTTTTAAAGATCATAGATGCTAAAAATGACTTTCATAACATCACATCATGTATAGGTTTTTTGCAAAATAAAAACAAATTTTTGACAAAAACTTTTTTATTACAATGAACTATAATGAACTATATTATATTTTCTTACAACTAATCAAAAAAATTGTTCCTGATACTTATATACAATTTTAGATCTACTCTTTTTTCTTATGACACCTTTTCTTCTTCTCTTTGATGCTTCTCCAAACTTGTTTCTGATTTCCTTCTCTGGTTTCTCGATTGAGCATCCAACAGTAGTCAGCTAACATATTGACATCCCGTTTTCCTTGGTAACATCTCGATATCACGGACATCTTGGTGAAATCTTTCACCCTGTTCATCACTGTAGGCTCCCAAGTTTTTGGGAAAATAGTCAATATGGGAGTGTAAGAAATGAACTTTTAAGCTCATCTTGCATCCTTGAGCTTCATACACTGCCAACATGCATTATACAATGGTTTTGTAGTCAGGGTATATTCACCAAAAACTTATGCACTACATTCTTGAGAGTTCCATGCTTCTTTTTCCTTTTCTCCTATTGTTTCCAAAAAGAGGGGATCAGATAAAGGGGATGTTGACTTTTCACTATGTATTCACCACAAACATAACAGAAGCTGATGGGAGAAATTACACAATCTCTGTGAGCCATATTCAGAAGTAGAAATACAAGCACAGTAGTGTTCAAATGCTGGATATAAACTAAGTGTAGCATTAGATAGCCAGAGAGATACTGAACTTATTTAGCTTGTTGAAACATGATCTAATCCAACAGTAGGTTATTTATATTTATTCCTAGTATCCCAGATAACATGTTGAAACATGCTCAACCTCACCAGTAATATTACTCACTATCAACTTTTAACCTGTATCTACACGATCATGCGATCTTCCTCCTAACGCTAAAACTACTTTACTCATCTCCCCCTACCACTACTCTCTTCAACCATTAACATTTTTATTTATTTATTGCCAAGTCCAGCTATAATTGATAGAATTAATGTGAGAAATCTTCGTTTTAAGGCCATTTTTTAAATAAAAAAAACAAATACTAAATTTTAAGTTAACTAGGAATTTTACTTTTGTGGCGTAATAAACACTAGTATTGTGTTTTATTCCAAAGACAAATGGCAAATTTTCCATCAAATTCCTTTATTAGTTGACGCTAAAATAAATTTTAGCATCAACTAATAAAGGCATGTATTTAGCGTAAAATTCCTTTATTAGGAATTTTACGCTAAATACAAACAACAACTTAGTGTAACAAAAAAAATTGACGAGATGGAATTTTTTTCGTATTTTTTTGTTTTTACCAAGTTGAAATCTATAAGAAAATGTATAAAAATCCTATGCAGTTTTTTACTTGCAGACCTGTGTAATTAGAAAAAAAAAATACAGTAATTCAGAGTAACATGTTCTAACAGTTAAAAAAAAAAAAAAAACTAAATCACTGGATGGCATGCAAGCACCCAAAATGTTTGTCCCATTGATTTAACATTGTACTTTTGCTACTTTGTCATGTCTGAACCCTTGCATCATCCTCAAATCTCTTTTCAGCAGCATTAACTAAAGGGTAAGAGCTTTAATTTGACACACAAACTGTATTTTTAGCCCCAACTGTTTACTCAAATTAAGTCTTGCAGACTCAAACCCTCTTCCAGTTAATACATAGATTTAATAACTTTAACACAAGGAAATTCTAATATTTAAAGAGAGAGAGAATTTCATAAAAGTAAAAATTAATATTAATTCTTTTAATATAGGAAACATATTGGTAATCTTGACCTTCTTTACTCATTATATTCTAAAAAACTCTCTAAAATCCCATGTAGATCTATGTACTGTACAGTACATCTGTATGTCAGCTCTCAAATTGGAACTCCAGTTCTCTAAACTATGGAATGGCTATACACAATTGATGACAAATGAGTAATTATTTATTGTGACATTATCACAATGCCAGGCTGCAATTTTTAATTTATTTAATTTAAAATATGTACACTTGTTTTTAGTAGTGTCTTGCCCCTGTACATCATACTTTTCCTGTTAACAATACAGTTATGCTGGTCATCTAACTCCATTCTGGAGAAAATTTTTGAATTGAAATAACATGACTTCCGGTTCAAACTGGAACCTCCTGCCCTTAAGCTTTCCACATCTAGTCTCACCTCTCATCTAACTCCCTTCTTGAGATTAAGGAATTGCAGTCCAATCATTTATAATCCTCTATTCATTCTTAATATTCAAGTAAATGTAGAGCGAGTATAGTAATTAGAATCTTTTTAAAGTCCTTATTAACTAAATAAACTTCTCCCTTTGTATGACTTTTTAAAAATTTTTGACAAATATCACTTATTTGCATATCAAGAGTGAATAGAAGTGTTTCCCAAAGTTTTATATTCCTCCTCAGATTTTCGTAAGTATTATTGAAGTGTGTTCTTGTCAACAAAAGTTATTTTGCAAATTATCCAAATATACATTAAAATAATTTGTTACTACACTTTTTCATAGTAATGATTCTGTGTGTTAATAGTACGGGTACTGTACATAGCCAAAAACCATCACATACTCTGAAGACCATTTGGGTACCACTTTGGGAAACACTGACTAGAGGGGATTATTGACTGCCATCATTTGTAAGCATTTTCAAAAGTGAGCATCGCACACACAAAACATGGGAATGGAAACTGCATGTTAGACATAGATCTGGCAAATTGTTTCAATGAGCAATGAGAAGTTCTCTCCCAGACATAAATGTGTATTTCCTATTCTGTCTCTATTTCTCACAATTTACTGCTTTGTAACATTAGTAGTATTGGCAAGAATCAAACACTGACAAATTAGCATTTTACACTTTCTATTTATGTATGCAGGGTGTTCTTTTGTACTAAGTCAGTCACACTCCATAGTTTTATAATAGACTTTTTTTCTGTATGTGCATCATTTTGAGATAGTAAAATTTAGAAGTTAGCATTTCTATTAGGGTTGCTGCAAGTGGTCTCTGCTTGTAGCACATAATTGCTTTACTATACATCACATTCATAACTGTAGCTATTTGCATTTGTAGGTTATGTGCGTGCATAAGAACTTTACTATGCACCCTGCATATGTATATTCTACTTTGAGTCCATATTAATAATTTATTTTAATCATATTTACACTTAATAAAGAAAATGCTGACATTAATTTCCAAATTTTATTTTATTGCAGGTCATCCCTACTTAGAAACAGTATCTGAGAAATTAAACGAGTCTCCTTTTCACGATCTCTCTTCAGAATTTAATGATGTTATCATACATGTGAAGAATTTGAAGAAAAGTTGATTAAAAATTAATTAGTATTTTTAAATTATTAATTTTATTTTGATAATTACACTGTTACAAGATATTTGTTTTTCTAAACTTTGTATAAAAATAAATATATGAGAGGTTTGTTATGTTCAAATTAACATACCATCATGTGATCTGATTTTGTGTCCTTCGTGCATTGTCATATTTTAAATGGAATCTATGGGCTCCTTATTAAGTTTTAATTTCAAAATGTTTCACTCTTTCAACTAAAGAACCAAAATTTATCAACAGATAATACGAAAACAATGTCAGACTCTCACCACAGCTTTCCTGAGATTATGGGTCCCAACACATCTATATACCTTGTCCTTAATAAAAAAATATAAATCACTATACAAGAACATAATCCTCCCAAATATTTTAGTTAGATTTACAGAAAATAATTGATTACACACAAAAAAAAATGTGCATTGTCGTCAATGGCAAATTACAAGAACATTTCGTGGAGAAACTGCAGAAATAAGAATACAGGAAGAATAATTTGAAACCAAGTCCTACCATAAGAAGGGTTTGTGCTTTGCCAATGGGCTGGCCATGTGGAATTTTCCAGGTTTTCTTTGTTAGTAACACCTAAATAGGGGCCAGTTTCCCATAAAAATCATCCCCCTTGGCAGATTGCCATATGTTGCACTGCCTTAAACAAATAGACCTTTATTATGTTCCTTTACCTTGCTATACCATAAGAAAACATTATAAAATACATCATTATTTTCCATTAAATTACATTCCATTTTAATTTCCATTATTATGATAAAAAAGAAACTTTCAGTAAAACAATATGAAACATTATTTTCCTGAAAGTTCCACAAAAAAATTTCAAAATAATTACCGTATATCTCGGCAGATAAGACAACAGTTGAATCATAAAAAAAGGTCCCCAAAATCTGGGGTTGTCTTATACGACAGATACAAAAAAAAGTTAGATTGAAATTTATATAAATTAAAACCATAATAAAAAGACAGACAAACCGTAATTATTTACTAGAAGAGAGTAGGGTATGTGTACAAAATAGAATAGTCCATACGACATTTTTGTGAATAGTCAAGGTCATTACCCGAATGTCAAATCAGTGCCAATGTTTGCAACAATCACAAGGAAGTGCTGCCAGATGCAAGAAAATAAAATTTGTTCATTCAAAAAATTACAAATAGGACATAATTCTGTATATGCTATACAGTATTATTATTATTCAAATGATGATCGATGATCTAAACTAAATTCATAGGCCATTGATAATTTGGGTGTCATCTTATAGGACAGATATATGCTAAAACTTTGACAAAAATTTATACCATGTCTTATCTGCCGAGATATATGGTAGTTCTGTTTATTTGCATGGCAGCATCTGTCTTGTCCTGATTATTGACAGACATACACACTGATTAAGTAGATAAGCAGTGAGTAGAGAGCAAGAAGTCACCTAGATAGCAAATATAAGAGATCACTTTCTGTCAATACATCTGCAACCAGGAAGGCTTCTTCTGACTACTTGCTGTATCCCTTTTTATATAACATCTCATTTTTTTTATTTGGAGAAACTTGTTGTTCTGATCAATTTTTTTCTTGTATTTTTAATTAAATTACTTTTTTATGTATAGTACAGTGTTTCCCCCTTGAACGTACCTAGGTTTGTGAATTAATTTTGAGAAAAGAAATGCGAGTATAGCACTGTAGACAATGGTAAGAGAAAGTGCATCTGAAATAGTTAGTTACTACATTAAATCAGCATACTTCTACATATGCTCCTGACTTATATCTGGCCTGTACTTGATTTCAGTCCACATTCAAGCCAGCATGTTAGAATTCATGCCATTAATGACATCTGCATTCTTATATGTGAAACTCTCCTGTCTGGAACTTTTGTAGCATACACATGATCTTTGACATATCCACAAAGAAAAAAGTTCAGAGAGATAACGTCAGACAATCAAGTGGACCAAGAAATGAGCCTCTACAATCTATACCATGCCATAATGGAGGTCCAAATTGTCATCATGCAACAGTGGCTACACATGTGAAAGTTGGAGTGTTGACCAACATTCTCCAACAGATTTTATTCATATCTGGATAAATGGATGCTACAGAACGATTTAAAACTAGATAAGTTTGAGGGGAACACACTGTATATTAAAGCACATTCTGAAGCATTAATATTACAGTTACTAGTTTACATTATATTTTGGCACAGACATGCCCTTTACTTAAATTTTTATTTTTGTTATATGAAAAACTATTGTGGTCTCAAACAATGGTAATTTATTGTCAAAGATTCATACAAAAATATGAAACACCAACTTTAACCAAATTAATATGATTTAAGTTATCATTATATATCACTCTCTTTTATTTTATACATAGTGTAAGCTTATTTACAACTTCAAATTCTGACTTCTCACAATAAAAACCTTGTTCAAAATACAAAATTTTTAAAATTATGCTAAAAAAACACTCCACTATTTTCAGCCTAATTTAGGTCATATTCTGAATCAAGCATACAAACAAAATAGAATAAATTATAAAAGTAATGTTTGATGCCAAAAATGGTCAAGTCTTGGCTGAAAACATTATGGTGTCAGGATTTTTCATTTCCAGACAAAATATTTTAAAGTGATTGTTTTTTCTTTTACAAGAAAAGGATTTATGATGTCATAATTCCAAACTTTCACCTATTTTCCAAACTGAAGATATCTTTAAGGCTTGACAATTTGAGGAAGATGTCTGAGAAGCTAAAGGTCAAATAAGTTTACAAAATGCATCTCTAACATCAAGATTTTTGATTCCTTGATCTACTGCTATAATGTGTATTTGACGGACAATGCAATCATGTCGAATATATATTCAATGTATGATTATATCTTCTATACTAATTGGTCTGGAAGTGAAGATCAGAGGTCCAGACAGCATAATTGGCAATGCATTTGCACAGTAAGCAGATTTAAGTTCTGCTCCAGATTAATTAATTTAAGAGTATTCTGGAAGAAAAGATCAAAGATGATAACTTAATTGCCCATCTTTAGTCCAAATTACTTCATATCTCCTATATTTAATTAGCCAAGTTATGGTCTGACGAATCTGGCGTTATCATTTCATTAAGTTAGTTTATATGTTGTTGAGCGTTCACAAAGTAATTGTCATAACTTTAAGTCTTATGAGTCAGCTCTTCTAGTTCTAGAATCATTACATGAATTGTTCATAGTCTGAAGGAACAGACAAAATATTCCCGACAGTCCATCACCTGTGTTCAGTTTTATGGAAGCAATCTTTGATTTTGGCAATTGTTCCAAAGTGCACATTTGCCTCACAATCAAGAGAAGATACACCGCATTCTTTATCAAACAAACACTCTGATGAGAAAAATCAAAGAAAAAATGCAGGCAAATGCAAATGTGTTAAACAGATTCTTACTGTTCACTCTGCAGATTGAATTTTTTAGAATATGTTGTCAATTTACACAAATAAATACATTGACAATCTACAAATGTCTTCCCAATTTGAGGCTGGCTGTCTGTGTTTCGGTAGACATTGCTCTGTGGTAGTATGCTCTAGTCTCACAGTGACAAAGTACAGAAAAGTCATCTAATCTACAATTTTGGGAGCTTGTCTGATTAATATAAGCTCTGAAATACTGCTTCATTTCTCCATCCTAACTTGCAATTCCAGTGAAAAATGGTAATAATATAAAAAGCAAAAACAGAAAATGAGATGTTTAAAGTTATAAAACTATTATTTGTAATATTTTATATAAAAAACACTTTAATTTATTTAAAAAATACATTTTAATACAATTTTAGATGGCCAGTCACTTTGTCTACTAGATTTTCAGGTCCTGTAAAACAAAAGATAAATTAATAATTATTTATAATCCAAAAACAATCTCACAAATGTACAATTTCATAATAGGATAAAACCTCATTAAGTTGGTCAGCAGTTTTTTACTCCTTAAAATTTAAGTTAACAAATTTAATAGCTAATTCTCTGAAATTTTTCTGTGATCATAAATTTCTTGTTATCAAGCCATTTTTTGAGAATCCATTCAGAAAGTGATTACAAAATTGTATACAGTTTATGGGCTCTTTTGAATGCATTGTCAAGATGTCCCCTGATGTCCCAATCTGAACGCTGATAACATACTGTATCAGTAAAAGGATATCAATATGAGGTTGTGGTTACAACTTTGCATCGACATTATTTTACTGATACAGTATGTTATCAGCATGGATCCATAGTGTTTGTTTATCTTAATCATCTGTATTCACATGGAATAAAAGAGAAAATGAATATAGATTATCAAAGGGTGGAGGGTTTGATAGTGAACTTTCATAAGAATATTTCTACTTATAATGTTAAGCATGAATAGAATGCAAAAATTTCATTGTATGGGGTCCCAATACTCAAATATTGATTCTATTTTATATGTTTGAATCACATTCTTAACAAACTGGATTTTTATTGGCTTGTAACAAGGTTTTAGACTCATAGATTTACAATTTTCTTCTTTCTTGAAGGGTCAGTCAAGTTCAAAAAGCAGGCATAAACTATGGCACAACTTAAAAATGCAAAATGCAAAAGCTAAGCAATTTAACAGTGGACATATCTGGAAACATTTGACCAATAATCTTTGTTATGATATGTTAAAATATATTGGAAACTAAGAAAATATCAGTTACATATGACAAGATGGATGTAAGGTACTTCAATGTTGTGTATTAAAATCAGGGGCACAAGATGTGAAATTCAATCACCTACTGTATATAGCAGGAGTGGCCAAATCTTGTGATATGAGCCATGTATTGGCTATCAGAAATAAGCAAGAACCGTATCTTCTGTATATTATATGAATTACTATAAATAAATAAATTCTTACTGGAATTAATTAAATAAGATAAATAAACACCTTTCTCTATTCCAGCACAACGTTTAATGCGTTTAATTAACGCATTAAACGTTGTGCTGGAATAGAGAAAGGTGTTTATTTATCTTATTGAATTACTGTAATTATCACTGTTACTTTACTGGTATATTATAACCAGCTTGTTAAACATTTGACATTCCAAATTTACTGTACCTTTAGGTTTTGGTTGCTTTTTCAAGGTGAGGGTCTTTCAGTTTTCATGTAAACCACATTAGATGACAGTCAGAAAACTTACTGCATACACATATGTAATAGTTTTGTATGTATCAAATTTATATAAAGACTGTATAAGTATATGAGAGTTGCAGTTAAGGCTACAAGAATCATGTCCTGTGAGTTGCAGTTTGGTCACTGTAGACGTATAGTGTTCTCAATCACTTAATTGTCATTTTGGAATCAATGCCATGTTAAATCTGTGTGTATTTTAGTTTCAAAATAACTTTCTGGCCATTCTTTTCTGGCAATTTTTTAATAAAATTACTTCCTAAACCCATCATCGTTCAAGTGGAACAAAGTACCAACACAAAAGTATTTTGTGTATCAAAGGCTCCATTTTACTATAGATGGCAATAGTCATCTGCATTTAAAGTTTTGTCTTTGACAAATTTTCTGTATGCATAATCACCTGGCTGAAAATCTGTTTCCAGTCTTTATATCAGCCATCCGATTTTATAAGTGCACATTCCTGATCTAAAACAATAATTTCTGTAAAAATAAACATAAAGTAAGTTTGTATTCTTCAACACTGCTCAAAGTTTAAATTAACTGGAGTATGGAGTAAAAACTGCACTTAATAATTGAGTTTGTCTGGCATTATCTTACATTAGGAATAGGAATTTTAACATACAACCTGAGCAATTTACTATTTTAGCATTCAGAACACAAAGCAATCTGAAGTTGCAGATGTTTAAAGAGTTGCACAGTCAACATCCAAATTTAGGAGTTGCGTGTGAATAAAGGTTGCACATTGTATTCTAATTGATTTAATACAGATGAAAGTTAGACAACAGCTAACAGAGTGCTGTTCAGATGGCATAAGGAAATTGTAACTAAAGTCCCTCCTGAATAGTTATTTCTCACACTTTCTGATAACATGTTCTAAAATTATTATCAGAACAATTTTAGAATTTTGTTATCAGACAGACAAAATCTCTTCCAGTAGCTTCAAATTGTTCCCATTATTAATATAAACATCTTAATAAAACATGATACATTACAATAAAGCTACACTAACTGCCATATAATATCGGTTAATACTGTAATTATGATTGCTGATATATAGCCAAGTATTATATGGTAGTTGGTGTAGCTTTATCGTTCCCATTATTAAAAATGTTTATGAACTTGCGTATAAAAAAACCACTACAGCGTGGCCCAAGAGTCAGTTAATCAAGATACATTTGGGATTCTATTGCTTTATTAGCAGTGAGTCACTTGCAAGTAATGTGAATTAATTATTTAATTAACAAATTAATTGACTTAATTAGCATCATTTTAGCATACCATATAGCAAACATGGTCAAGGCAGCTTAGCTTTGGCTTGCCACTCTAGAAGAGGCACAGGCTCAAGTCTAGGCTATGACTGCCTCGATTTTCCATGAATGCTGGCAGTCCCAAGACTTTAACTGTAGACAAGGCAGCTACCTTGTTGGGATTCTGCATTGTATGGTGACTGTAGATGCATTTGAAGAGGCTGAGACTGCCCCCGTGTATCATCAGATGGATGGAGAAACAGATATAACACAGATGACACAACAGGCCTTTCAGGTTTTGGTGATGGGTGAATTCTCCCCACCATCTATAACCTTATAAATTTTATTACTCCTATATTTAAATATCTTTATGTTTATTTTTATTGAATTTTTAATAAAATCCAATAAAAATAAAGTGAATCATTTGCAAGACTGTGAGACTGGCAATACCTAGATATCTTGTACTTGTTTACTTATTGCAGCAATACTCATGCTGCAATAAGTAAACAACATATTTTTATTTTGTCTGCCACCCCGAAAACTCCAAACAAAAAAATAACTAGTTATACAACATAAAAAGCAAAAATTAACATACCTGGTCCAACTCCTAAAACAGTCTTGCTTCCTGCAGCTATTTGAGTTCTTCCAGCATCACACACCAGACTTGTCAACAGGCCCTCGGATCTCGCTTTTGCCGCCAACTCGGACCTACAGAACCGATCAAATATGAAACATCATGTAACTACAGCCTCCTAGATAAACAATGCTTTAGAATGACACTTCTGTATAATGTTTCACAATCTGTAATAATGAATCATCAGAATAGTAAAATTCTTTGCTACAAATAACTGCAACTTATAGATAGATCTGTTCCATTGAGGAAGAAGTCTAATCTAAATAGGTCTATAAAGAATATGGATGCAAGGATGGTCAGAAGAGCCATTACATCCAGACCCAGACACAGAAAACCCCCAAAATTTAGTAATTTACATAAAAATCATGATACTAAAGCAATATAAATAAGAGTTGCTTTTGGTAAATGATAAAAATCCATAATTATTTATTAATTTGCAGTAGAGCCCCTTCCTAATCCAAACTATTTGGATTATACAAATTTCTTAATGTATTTTTATCTTAATTTTGGGTTTATGAATATACTAGCAGACCCCACCATGCATTGTTGTGGCTCAAAATGTATCTATTATAAATGTATAACACTTCCCCCGTGGGGGGAATTTTTTGAAAAATCCATTCTTAGTGTAGTACATTCTATTGATGTACCCTATTAAAACTCAATCAAAAACGCAAAAACCACATCTAAAATAGTATAATAGAAGCCAAGTTCTTCATGGTAAGCCTTAATCCTGTCCATCTCCCTACCAGTGGGGGGAATTTCAACATATATATTATATAAAAACACGTGCGTATTCGAATGCAATGTTGTGTCAAAATTTCAAAGGAATTGGTAGGAACAAACAAACATTACATTTTTATTTATATAGATAGAAAGAAGATGATCTGCTTTAGTTCACAGAAAAGCAAACTTAGGTTGTCATACTCGCGGAGTTAGCGACATAAAAGCCTTAATCCTAGATGATATCTTTTAATTTATATGAATGTTTAACGGAATAATATACAGCGTATGTCCACCATAAAGTTCCATTCTAAATATTGGTGAAAGAATTTTTGAAATCGGATGAGTAGTTTCGGAGATTACCTCCTACATCCAAACTTACAAACTTTACCTCTTTATAATATTAGTATAGATATAGATTGTAATTGCAGATGTATTACATCAAGATCACCAACAGTGTTTTTCAAGAACCAACTGGAAACTGAAAATCCCTGCAAATATGAACTGAGAAGTCAGTTCAAGTGTGCAGGGGTTTTCAACTTCATTCTGTGAGTAATTGTGACTGTGAGGAGGAGGAGATAGGAGACTAATTTTCATTTCTATTCCAACAATAAAATTTTAAAATTTATTTTGAGGTGGCATCATGTATTCTAAGTGGCATAAAGCAAGCACAATGGCCATGTATTTTGTTTGGATAGCAAGAGAGCAATTTAAATTATTTTTTGGCTGTTTGCATCAGCTGAAATTTCAGATTACCAGGATTTGGATTAGAAAGTTTCTACTGCATTTTTATGGCTCTTGGAGAGATGGCCAGTGAGCATCTCACCTCTTTCAATGTCTGAAAAGATTAACTTTCACAGATCTTTTGAAGAAACTTTTCCCTATAAAAAAACAGTCCAAAAAGATGATAATGAATCCAATCTTTGCAGACAAAATATTGTGAAATTTATCTATGACAATCAGATTTGTCCTTTCATTCATATTTTTGGATTTATCATAGAATACACTGGTTCAAGATTTGCGGAAGCTACAACTAAGAACTATTTTCTTTTACGAATATCTAATGCAGCATCTTTGCAAGTTTTTGTAATTAAAAAATTGATTGACCACTTAGATATATTCCAATCCTTTTAATTATAAAATTTATAACTAATTTGTTTATCTAGTAGTCAGTGATGGAGTTGAACATGGAATTTTATCTTCCACAGGATTTAAATTATTTAAATGATTATCAGTACTTACATTAAACTTTCATTATCAATTTTCACCACCACTTTCCTCTGACCAGAAAGTTCCCACATCCTTAATGTGTCAGGATCTTTCTTTTGCAGCTGCCTGTAGGCTATAACAGAAGCATGAGAACACTGTAATGAAAGAAATTATTTTAATTATGTCATATATTAATGAAGAAGAAATAATTAATGTACTACATAGTATTGGTATACTGTTTTAGCACTATGTTCAGAATGAAAAATTTACTGAAGGAGTAGACTTGGTGATGCCATGAACCAGTGGCACCTAACTGATTCATCATAGTTATAATGTTACTAATGTAAATAAACGTTTCAGATCTGTGTTTTTGTAATGCATAGCAAGGCAGTAACAAGTACAAATGACTCATGGAATTGCAAAGTCTACCCTGTTTCAAGTAAGCTTTTCAGATCAACACCCCAAAAAAAAGCTTTCATTAATTACCTGGGCAGCCACTTTGCCTTTTCCCATTTTCAGATCATTCCTGACAACAAGAACTAGCTTGCATTCACATGGCCCAAATTCGTTAAAACTCTATTAAAAAATAATAATGTAATTAGTAAACTTAGTATGATTAAATAGTAAACTTAGGGCCAGATTTAGAGTTATCTTGACCCTGAACTTTAATGCATAAAAATCCCTAAGACATAGACTAACAGATGGAGGTCCTAAACTACAAATTGTTTAGCTTGCATTTATATCCGGCTCTTATTGATACTTACTTCTTGGATTATAGCACTTCCTAAATTCGTTACTGGCACCCTCAGCTTTTTTCTAAGGACCCATCCTAGCAATATCCCAACACTCAATCCGGTAAAAATTCCAACTGTTAAGGAAGATTTATCAATTGAGAGTGGCATCATAATATTCCAATATCTGAAACACAAATTAGTAAATTATTGAGTACTACAAAGCTTTCAGAACAAAATATCTGTTATTTAAAGAACCATACATTTGCAAAATGATCTTTTGAATAATTACAGAATTAATTTTTCTTTCATTCAAGGAAAATTTGAACTGAAACTCATTTTATTCTTTGCTTACGACTATTTTTAACTTGGCAAATAGTATAAAGGCTGGTGCAAAAGTTAACTAACTGAAATATATTTTAAGACTGCTCATAAAAAATATGTGGATTAACTAAGTTTCGGTCCACCCTGTATAAGTAAGAATAAAAGTGGAAAATGCTAAAATTTACATATGGGAAGTATTTTATGGGAAAATAACTAATGCCATCTTGCTTTCTTGTAGCATAACTTCCAAATATAGGAAGGCACATATATCAAAGAATGTCTTATAATATTTATTACACCAGATGATTATTACATTTGATTTTCTTTTATTTTAATACAGAGCTTTCAAATTAAAATCTATCTCTACTTTTATATATCATAGCTAAGGTGACCAACTTTTTTACAATGAAAAGGAGGACACTAATAAATTGATAGAAAAAATATCATAAATAAAAAACATTTTATTCATTGCAACAATAATACACTATAATAATCTCTACTGCATGCATAGGTACCATGTCATGTTTTGACAAGAAGCAAACAAAGCCATTTGCGCTCCCTCTCTCTCTAGGTCTCCCGTGCGAAGAGCATGTGTCTCATAATTGTATCTCGTCGCACTGTACACAGCCTTGATGAATCGTCATGTTAAATACAAAAACATCATATCACATCACACGCAACGGATCAGTTCGGCACTGATCAAATACGGAGATTTACAGATTAGTCTTCAAATATCAAAAAGAAGGACATGTAGGAGGACACTTTCAAGGGAGGACAAAACTTACAAAAGGAGGATGATTGATCACCTTATCATAGCTGATTTTTAAGTAGGTGCATACATTCTGAATCATGTTAGAAAATCATTTTCAGCTAGCTACATTAAGTGATGGCAATCATGCAATAGTTAAAAATGTGTATCTGATAAACATATGTGGAGTGCTTACTTAGTAAATTTATGGGTAGATACATGGATATGTAATTACTGTATCAAGCTTCTGTATTCATATTGATATTAAAAACAATGGAATTATTTTGAATTAATTATTAGCAAACTCATTACACGATGATAAAAACCTATATCAAATGAATAAAATATATCAGAAAGTCCTAAAATTGAAGTTAAAAAGGTTTGAAACTGACAGTCAAATTTTAAACATGGCAGCTTCCTTACGATGCCACGTGACTAAGGATTACAAGTATTTACGTCTATATTCTTCAGTTAAACAGAATGTCAAATGAGTTAAAAACACAAATTCGTAAACAGAAGAAATTCAGTTAATATGAAAAGAAAAAAAAAACTCTAGATTTTACGCTAAATTTTAAATTAAGCCGCTTTATAACATACCGTTTAGCTGATTGTGATATGGCACGCCACCTGCATTAATTTTAAATATTGGAATTAAAATTTTTATTTAAATACTGTATTAAAATTACTGGTTTACAGTTTTTTTTCTTTCTTTTTTCTTAGATTTGGTTTTAAAATTAAAACATCAATCAGTCCAAATGTAAGAATAGATTATGTTTCGGTAGAAATTTTGATGAAACCACCATAGATATCATAATTTTAATTTAGTCCTTTTTACATTTTTGGCGTATGGTCATCTAGAGCCGTTTCCGAACTCTGTGAGGGTCGCGGTCCATCATGTTGTGGTGGTTTCAGGGATCCGCGACACGAGAACCACTGATCTAGCGCGTGTTATCCATATCCATTGTGGGTTCTACCAGGCTCACAATGGCGATCCAGGGATTCGAATTTTTTTTTTAATACAACCAGACCTGTGTTCAGTAACGCAGAATTTTGACTTAGTCAGGCCTTGTGACGATACTGGACGATATATCAGTAGTTCTGACTCCACCTACTGTAAGAATTCTTACTCGTTTACTCAGACTACTTTTAGTAGACTAGTAACGCAGACAGATACTGGTCTGACATGGCCTGCGGAACTCAGCTCACTGTGTGCGAACAAGGAAACCTACAAGATCTTCTCAAATTTTGTTAGGACATGGGACTTGTTGAAGTAAAACAACACAACCAAACCACCAACATGAATTGGATAATGCTTGTCATTAATACAACTGTGTCATCACATTACTTGTGTTCAATTGTGAATCATCGTTGTAATTGCTTGTTGTCAGCTTGTTAATTAATATGTACAGTTTGGTAATTAATATGTATATATTTTCTGCTGCTACTTCATCGATAGTTAGTTATTGTATTCATTCGTCTGGCCAGAATGGCATTTATTGTTGTATATTGCGTTATCTTTAAATTCTGCATTGTATATCAAGACTGTGTATTCACACCACTCTAAATGCTTTCTTAGCTACCGTGTTTCCCCGAAAATAAGGCAGTGTCCTATATTAATTTTTGCTCTGAAAAGTGCGCTAGGTCTTATTTTCAGGGAATGTCTTATTTTTTCCAGGAAGAAGAATTCACATTTATTATTGAACAAAAAAATTCCCANTTAGCTACCGTGTTTCCCCGAAAATAAGGCAGTGTCATATATTAATTTTTGCTCTGAAAAATGCGCTAGGTCTTATTTTCTGTGGATGTCTTATTTTCGGGGAAACACGGTATTTTTTAAACCTTTCCTCCTCCTAATTCTGCACTTTCTTATTTCAATGAGTTAATTGAGAAGAGAAAATGACCGACTGCCATTAATTAAATGTAATAATTATGAAATTATTATTTACAGATGTTGATTGTTATTGCATTGAAACTATTTTCTGGTACGAAGATGGTTTTTATGTTACTTATGATTATCAAGTAAGTGAAAAATTACAATGTTATCTTACTTAAAATACAGTAAATATTATTAATACAATAAAGAAAATAAATCATACAAGTGATGTTAAGATTGCTTAAATTAGAAATTAAAAATAATATCAATACTTGATATTTTTATAATTAATCAATTTTGTTTTATACTTTAGTATTTCATACCACAAGAAGAATATGGACTATATTCACCATTTATTCCATATCAGCAAGTCTCTAATTCGCTTGCTTATGGATATTCAAGTCAAGACGGTTTATACAAACCGCCATTACAAGGATTTCAAACATCAAATTATTGGTCACAGGAGGAAGTGGTTTAAAATGAACCTTTTCAAGAAGTGCCGCAATATGATGTGGCCACAAATACATCAGAATTTTGGCCACTGGCAGATATGGACGAAAATGAACTTCGTCCGTTTCAAATAAGAACAAATGAATCGGAGTATCCTGTAGCCGAAACGTCGCTACATTCGATGCAACCAAATATGTTGCAAAGTAATTCGGAGTCGGAATGTGAGGCGCAAAAAAAAGTGTCCGAACATGAAGTTTTTGTTCCGGATACAATAACTAATAAAAAACCGGACATGCATTCCTCATTAGGAACTTCTGAAGATTTATCAATTTCTACGCATCCACATAATAATGGTAAATTCCATTAAACTTATATTAATAATATATACTAAATACATAAAACACAAACAAATATATTAATGATTACATACCTATTAACAGTTATATTTTTAAAATAACTGTTCGTAGGGCTAATGAAATAAAGGCCGTATCCCTACAGCTAATAGTCCATCTAAATCCTGTACAATAAAAGTTTAATTATAAAACCCCTAGAAAACTATTTATATAATATCAAATATACAAGGTCTGTTCAAAAAGTATCGGACCTTTTTATTTTCCGCGTAAACCAATGATGCGAGAGAGGCCTTCTTCGGTGGAGTTGTGGAGGGGACAGTCATGCACAGCCCTGAATTTTTTCCCGCCTGCAGGAAGCGTCAGTCGTTGGCAATCGGCGTATGAGTGAGGTCATGTAGTGCGCTCTCGTCGGATTTC